GCAATTTTTCCAATTTCAACAATTTTCGCAATTTTTGCAATTTCTGCAATTTTTGCAATGTTCAGGAATTTTTGCAATTTTCAGGAGTTTTTGCAATTTCCAGGAATTTTTGCAATTTTTGCAATTTTTGCAATTTTTGCAATTTTTGCAATTTTTGCAATTTTTGCAATTTTTGCAATTTTTGCAATTTTTGCAATTTTTGCAATTTTTGCAATTTTTGCAATTTTTGCAATTCTTGCAATTTTTGCAATTTTTGCAATTTTTGCAATTTTTGCAATTTTTGCAATTTTTGCAATTTTTGCAATTTTCGCAATTTTTGCAATTTTTGCAATTTTTGCAATTTTTGCAATTTTTGCAATTTTTGCAATTTTTGCAATTTTTGCAATTTTTGCAATTTTTGCAATTTTTGCAATTTTTGCAATTTTTGCAATTTTTGCAATTCTTGCAATTTTTGCAATTTTTGCAATTTTTGCAATTTTTCCAATTTTAGCAATTTTCGCAATTTTTGCAATTTCTGCAATTTTCTGGAATTTTTGCGATTTTCGCAATTTTCAGGAATTTTTGCAATTTTCAGGAATTATTGCAATTTTCAGGAATTTTTGAAATCTTCAGGAATTTTTGCAATTTTTGCAATTTTCAGGAATTTGTAATTTTTACAATCGTCAGGAATTTCTTCAATTTTTGCAATTTTTGCAATTTTTGCAATTTTTGCAATTTTTGCAATTTTTGCAATTTCTGCAATTTTTGCAATTTTTGCAATTTTTGGATTTTTGCAATTTTTGCAATTTTTGCAATTTTTGCAATTCTTGCAATTTTTGCAATTTTTGCAATTTTTGCAATTTTTGCAATTTTTGCAATTTTTGCAATTTTTGCAATTTTCGCAATTTTTGCAATTTTTGCAATTTTTGCAATTTTTGCAATTTTTGCAATTTTTGCAATTTTTGCAATTTTTCCAATTTTAGCAATTTTCGCAATTTTTGCAATTTCTGCAATTTTCTGGAATTTTTGCAATTTTCGCAATTTTCAGGAATTTTTGCAATTTTCAGGAATTTTTGAAATCTTCAGGAATTTTTGCAATTTTTGCAATTTTCAGGAATTTTTGAAATCTTCAGGAATTTTTGCAATTTTTGCAATTTTCAGGAATTTGTAATTTTTACAATTGTCAGGAATTCCTCCAATTTTTGCAATTTTTGCATTTTTTGCAATTTTTGCAATTTTTGCAATTTTTGCAATTTTTGCAATTTTTGCAATTTTTGCAATTTTTGCAATTTTTGCAATTTTTCCAATTTTTCCAATTTCAACAATTTTCGCAATTTTTGCAATTTCTGCAATTTTCGCAATTTTCAGGAATTTTTGCAATTTTCAGGAGTTTTTGCAATTTCCAGGAATTTTTGCAATTTTTGCAATTTCTGCAATTTTTGCAATTTTTGCAATTTTTGCAATTTTTGCAATCTTTGCAATTTTTGCAATTTTTGCAATTTTTGCAATTTTTGCAATTTTTGCAATTTCAGCAATTTTCGCAATTTTTGCGATTTCTGCAATTTTCAGGAATTTTTGCAATTTTCGCAATTTTCAGGAATTTTTGCAATTTTCAGGAATTATTGCAATTTTCAGGAATTTTTGAAATCTTCAGGAATTTTTGCAATTTTTGCAATTTTCAGGAATTTGTAATTTTTACAATTGTCAGGAATTTCTCCAATTTTTACAATTGTCAGGAATTTCTCCAATTTTTGCAATTGCAATTTTTGCAATTTTTGCAATTTTTGCAATTTTTCCAATTTTAGCAATTTTCGCAATTTTTGCAATTTTTGCAATTTTCAGGAATATCTGCAATTTTTGCAATTTCTGCAATTTTTGCAATTTTTGCAATTTTTGCAATTTTGGCAATCTTCATATTTCTATTAATTCTTCTCCGAACATTTCTTCATAAAAAACGACTTATGGATGATTCAATTAAACAGTCGAAAAATTAGTCGACATTGTGAGTGTATGGAATCACGTCAGGTTAGGTTAGGTCCCCTTACGAGGGGAGTGTATCAATTTTGGCGTTCGTAATGACTCGCTACAAAGCACTGGCGGATCTGAGGGGGGGGCCATGGGGGCCATGGCCCCCCCCCAGAGCTCTGAATAAGTAGTTGATATTGGTTCAACAATCAGTCTGGATATGCAACCAAAGCTACGTTATACAAACCAAAATTATTCGTATTCGTAGTTTTCGTATTGAATGGTTCCTCAAACACTCGAACATGCCAAATCAACTCTTTTTTGAATTTCATTCATTATCATATACAAATATTATATAGAAATATTCTTGTATGCAGTGGGAATATGGGAAAACGACACAGGCGGTCAGATCAAAGGGCGGCAAAACAGATAACGATAGAGGAAAAATAATTATTTTCAAGGCCGGGGCTTCAGTAAAATGCAAATTAGCGGTAAGCGGTGACCGGTGGCGGTGAGCGGCAAGAATCAAAAACAAAGGGAATAACTGAAATAAGTAGTTGTTTCTTATCCGAAACCGCAAAAAACACCAATTGGTTTTGAAAGAGAAGGGTGAAAAGGGTCATTTCACATTAGTTCTTCAGAACAGTAAGATTCAGTTCACAGATTTTTTCATTTAAAAAGAAAGAAGAAGTAAGTGATAAGTGAAATTGAAATTATACTAAAAATTAAATGGTAAGTAGGTACATTAGTACATACGCAACACGCAACAGTGAGATTATTAACGAGATTGATTTTTATATATTTTTGAAAACCGATAATCAGTGTATAACATTTTACTCACTTGGATGAACAAAACTATTTAGAGCTGCAGATAAATCTTCAATACATTTTCGAGAATCATTTCCCAAGTAACATTTATGCTCTTATTCCGGTCTTCAAGAATGCTTTAAAACTACACAATAAAATTTCGAATAAAACCAATTGATCTTCAAGACAGCCCTGAGACCTTGATAAAGCAGCTTCTAGCCAAAAAAGGCCCATCCTGAAAAGGCCTTCAAGACTAAATTTTAAAACTATAATAAAACCATCAAGTTTTATATTTATATTCCTGAAGAGTTCTTCAAGGCATCGTTAAATACATAGATTAAAACTCATATTATGACGTTTTGCTCTTGAAATGTATTTACGGCGGACTAAATTAACTTAAAATTGTTTTATCAATTCTGAAAGAGTTTTATTTCTGTTTACTAACACTCGACAACTCTGAGGTCTGAATATATTATGACCGCCAGAGTGGTGATATTTTAAACGGCATACGGCATACGTATTACGTATAGAAAGCATATCATTGAATTAAATCCGAAAGCAAACTATTCTGGTCAAAAATTCACCAACGAATGGCACTTTTCTGATGAAATGTAATAAAATACTTCCACAGAACTTGAGCGCTACTAATTCAATGTATTTTTCTCTAATTTGAAAAATATTTAAAAAATAGCATCAAATTTAATTTTGCATCTAAGCATCTGAATTCATTTTTTAATCAAATGGCATATTCGCACAAACCGTTCTGCAGTTTTCTGAGAAGATCCAAGGCGCAATTATTTGAATAATAATATGCTTTTCGTTTACCATCGAAAATGTCCAAAATGGCGAAATAATTATAACAGTGAAACATGGCGTGATCTAGATTAAAACTGATTGTTCTTTTATTGAATGTTTCAAATCCCAGAAGATTTGAAACAGCGTTTTATTTACCACTTTAAATCCAATGACTCTCGTAGGAGTCTGTTTACGTTTCCTCTTAAAACCAATATGCTTTAATATGTTCATACTCGTGACCTAATTGATTTAAAGTGGTCTTGCGCCCGAATGGAATCATAACCTCACACATTTTGCCGTTGTAGTGAGTTCATTTTGAATTTCATGTTTATCTAACGACTTTCATTGAAAAAAAAACAAAGTGAGTTTTGCATGTTACTGATTGTTTTTCCGTTACATTGTGATATTGATTATATTTCAATATTACAAATAAGCACACCTCAGCACCCTTCCCAATTATTAAACAGGTGTTATTACCCACTATAGATATTTCATTTCTATACCCATCGGCGTATCCACGGGAATATAGTTCTTAAATGGAAATGCAGAAATTGAAAACTCTCTGAATCTTCTGATTGAGTAATTGAAGTGAACTTAAAAGGACGGGACACGTATATACTTTGTTCAACTATACGGTAGACTGTTCATGGTCGTTTTCGTAGTTTTCTTCCTGTAATTCCCTGGCATTGCTTTCATAATCGAACGGATTGAGAGATGAAGTGGAAGAACAGCCTCCAAATGTAACGCTGGTTTCAATTGCACTATGGTATTCTTGCACTGGTTTAACAGAGCTGCTCTCAGTTGTATCACTTTTACTCAAATTTTTAAACTTACTTATTTCTGCCCTCACCTTTTCTTCAAAGTAACCACTTCTTTTTAATTTGAAGTACTTGTCGCTAACGCTTTTCATTTCACCGATTGGTTAAATATTTTATTTCATATGTGAACATGCGAACTGCACTGGTTGACTAAAAAAGCTTGTTGACAAGATGGCGTTCAATCTGAATTTGGAATGGATAAAATTAGTTTTAATAAAGTCGTCCAAAGACCAAGAGGTATTTCTTTCAACCAAATTGACTAAATTGAAACCTTCGAACTTTATAATACTCTTAATGTATCCACTAAAAGGGGAAAATTATGTTTTTGGATTTAATGTGGTATTATATTGAATGTAAAGTCTTAGGATAAAATAGTTTTACTAATGGGTTTTGAAGAATACATCAAGGGTTCTCCATAAAACTACATTAAAACTATTTTTCCCAGAACGGATTGTTATAAAACCAACTTGCTATTTAGTTCTTAATAATAGCAAATAAGTTTTAAAATAGCCAATGTTGAGACTAACATAAAACCAATATAAGATCAATAGGACATTAAGAGCAAATAGCATTTTTATTTTGATTTGAAGAGTGCATTAAATCATTTCCTTAAGATTAAGTGGTCTTTAAAAACTTTTAGTTTATCTTAAGGTTACTTTAAATCCCATGTCGATTTATTGAACATATTAAAGCATTTTCAAAACCTGAATAAATCTAAACTATCTTAAAATTGTTACTTGGGTTAATGTCTACATTCCTGAGTTTATTCCAACTAAAAAATGTATTTTAATGATCATGGTGTCATTGTGAAAAAAAAATTTCAATCTCCTACCTATTCGATCTGGAGAACTTAGCTGAGCTCTTTAATTTTTCAGATGGATAGAAGGAAGATTAATTCATACTTTTTTCCAGTACAAAAAAAGCGGAAAATTGAACAACCAATTCAAAGTATTCAAAGCGAGGCAGGGCCGTCATCTTCAGCTTTAGGAAACCGTGACATATCAGAGGGAAATATTAAAAAACTATCTCAAAGCATCCAAAGTGAGGAGAAACCATCATCGTCATCTCAAAACCCTTATATGTCAGAAGAAAATATGGAAAATGAAAATATTTTCGATATAGGTAAAGCAGTTGGGCGAACAATGAATGACTATGAGAAATACAATTTCTTGAAAAATACTTGGCATCCGCCTCGTAACCAAGTGTTGCCGTTTTCGGAACACAATAAAAATAACCGAATCGTTAAACGTTATTTAAATCATGATCATTTAACAAAATATGAATGGTTATCGTATTCACTCATCCACAAAGGAATATATTGTAAATACTGTGTTGTCTTTGCCCAAGTTGGTGGCAGAAATAGGACAGATTGTCTCAAGAGTCTGGTTCAAACGCCTGTGACAAAATTTGCCAAACTTTTTGGTAGAGATGGTATCTTGGATATTCACGATTCCATATACATATCATTCATTATTCATGTGGTTTCAATTACTTTGGTTTCAAAATTCCATTAACTCACGGCCCATGGCCCCCCCCTGAAAAACTGCCTAGATCCGCCACTGCTACAAAGGAGGGTGTCGCCTTATGGAAAGCAACAGTCGTTATTTCAATGAAGCTGTGCTCTATGAAGTAGACCTATGTTTTTTTAGAAAAATTTGAATTATAATGAATAATATATTGCGCAATTAGAAAAGAATAATACTAATCTGAGGTTTTTTTCAGGATATTCCAGAAGCAATGTGCACAATGGTAGATATCGCAGCATTTCAGAACCAGTAGTACTCAAGAGTTATGTATAAACAGTGGTTTTATACTAGTTCTTTTCCATATTATTCGTGCACTTTAGGAAAGCAACAGTCGTCATTTCAATGAAGCTGTGCTCTATGAAGTAGACCCATGTTTCCTTTGAAAAATTGAAATTATAATGAATAATATATTGTGCACTCAGAGAAGCATAATACTAATTCAAGTTTTCTCTCAGGATATTCCAGAAGCAATATAAAACTATGGCAGACATCTCATTATTTGAGATCCTGTACTCACAAAAGCTCTATAATCGTTCAGGACAATTCACTTATGAGCTCAACATCTGTCAGACAGATTAATGGAATATGGAGATGTTCAAGATGAGTTTTCATGAACATTAAATTCAAATACAGATCGTAATTTCATTCTTTTCCGAACATTTCTTCATAAATTTCCGAAAAATATTTTTCTCAGTGAGAAGGTTCTTTAGGTCAAGTGAGGTTATAATGTGTGAAAAAGGTAGTCTTCTTTCTTATGCAGAAAAAAAGTACTGTGGACGCATTTACTGTTAATGGCATCCTATTTTGATAGAAATTCCATACCAAACATGTTTGTTTTCGTTAGAAGTGGGTACCCAAATGAAAAAAAATATTACTCCGGTCCATATTTATAATATATTTTCTACATGGATAAATCAACTCGTCTCTGGTACAGACTAGCAGCAGGTAGCCAAGTACGAAAATTCTCATATCATGAGTTTATTTGGTTTTTCTCCCCTTTTTCCCATTTCAATATTTTTTCAACTAAAATTCCCATACTATGGGAAAATCGCTGTCCGCGATTGCTTATTAATCGTTGTTCGAAGTTTCCGCCAATATCAGTGATTTGAAATTACCGCCATTGCTCAAATGCACTGATTGGTCTATTGGAATCGCCTATGCATGTTTATGATCTGTTTACGGATTCGTGCGATTTCGACTTTTACTCTTCCCTGGTTATATATATTAATATATTGGGGCTCCAGATAATTCCAGAACCATGATTCTAGAGTTGAGAATCTAAAAAAATGAAGTGATTGGAGAAGCTTTGCTAAGATCGAGAGAATCCAATTTATTTGGAATGAACATATGAAACCATTCTTACTTGAAAGTCATAAACTTGGGAACCTCAAGATAAAAAATGTCTTCTACTTTCAAAATTAAAAAAAAAAACATTAAATCGTTTGTGTGGTTTATTTCACATAATTATGAAAATAATACATCAAATTCACAAAGAACAATCACAATCATCAACGGAAAACTCTTACTTCATTCTTCTATCAAATGGAAAATCAAGATGTATCCATAGTCATTAAAACTGAATAAAAATTATGCTGTCCTGCACAAATCTTACTACAGTAAATTATTATAAAATTAGTGTCTTCTCACAAGTACAACCTGGCGTCAATCATTCGTCCATCTATACGGGCCTTGTCCAGATTTTCTAGAAGAAATTATTAAGGAAAATAACAACATTATCTTATCCAAAAACAACCGTTCTTCATTATTTTCTAGGATAATTCAACAGTGTGTTCTTATAGCAGTCAAAAATATCAAGATTTTATAAGTGCTCTCATCAAATCAGAATTCTATTCTAAAATAAAATTGATTTCATAGTTTTTGCTTCTCTCTGTTCAATTATTGTGGAAAATATTCAATGATTAGTGACTGAATTTCCAATGCTGCATGGCAAATGCCATAATGTATTTTTCGATGTGCTTAAAGAACATCCTGTAATTTTCCAATTTTCATTTTTGTAAATAAAAAGGATACTGATCGCACGTTCGGCTTGCCAGTCTGATCCGTAAGTGATAAGTATGTTCCCGGTACCCTTTTCTTCAAAGGTTAACACGTCCCCGAATTCGGTGAACTTCTCGTGCAACATTTTGTAACTGGCAGATGCTGGCAACTAAAAATATTTACATTAAATCCAACTCAGAGGAAGAAAGAAAGATACACAGAAAGTATGAAACCATTTTTTTTTTAATTCAGTTACAGTTCTGAGGGAATCCTCGTCCATATACAATGCATTCCATTTGAAGTGAGCTGCCCTAAATATGCTTTTGAAAAAATGTATCAACATGATATACAGAGGGGGTACATTTTGACATATTCACACTTGTTGCAACCTAATCCACAAATCCAAACTACTTTTTTGGCTAAAACCACAGAATATTTATTGAATGGGGAAGTTTTCTATAATGAGGTTCTTATCTCACTGTGAAGTTTGTGAAAAAATAATTTACAGGGTGTATTTTAAATGATGACTTTGATTCCAGGTGCTCATTCCTTGTCATATTTCATGACAAAAAGTTCATATAAACGTGTGTCCTAACTTGCTCCGTTTCCGAGTAACGGGGTGTCCAAAGTTTAATGAAATATCGGTTTTTCATGAATTACTGAAAATACTGTTCGTCGATTTTGATTTAACTCCGTGTGTTTGTGATTTATAATACAAAGCTTGTTTTCATGAAAGTAGATTTTGAATTTTGTTTCCAGTGGTGTGTACCTGATTGATATTCAAACTGCTAGTTTATTTCAATTTCGTTCCACTGGAAACAAAATTCAAAATCTACTTTCATGAAAAGAAGCTTCGTATTACAAATCACAAACACACGAAATTTGATCAGAATCGGCGAACAGTATTTTGAGTAATTCATGAAAAACCGGTATTTCATTAAACTTTGGACACCCCGTTACTAGGAAACGGAGCAAGTTAGGACACACGTTTATATGAACTTTATGTCATGAAATATGACAAGAAATCACCACCTGAAATTAAAGTCATCATTTAAGTACAAGTATTTTTTCTTTTCTTCGTAAGATCAAATTTCACTTCAGAAAAAAATAAATAAAAGAGGAACTTGGCTCCTCCACCATTTCTATGACGGCGTACTTTCTGAAAATCCACATTCACACAGAGTTAAAATAAGATTCTCTGTGCCAGTTCAAGTATTATGAATAATTCCCATAAATCTCTCATTGGCTGAATGAAGTTGATTACTAATCATGATATACTATGATATTTTGCGATAGTATCTATAATTTTTCACTATCGTTATATAAAAATATGTTATTCATGACTTGTCAGTTATTTTTTTGCTAATAAATTCGTTCCTTAATAAAACGGATCTATTTTCTATGAAAGTTGCAGATTATACCTTGCAACAGCGCCTAATACTTCCGAGTCCGTCCACACCACTCAAAATACTAACAGGCACAACAACAGGAAGGAGCCATGGGTGTCGGCTTCATTCTGTTCTGGCCGATGACAGTAAATAAAGAAGGATAGTATCATTGAATGTAGCCGATAGTGATTCATTGATTCAAAGATATTTTCGTTTAGGATCGAGCTCTATTTGAGATATTTCAATGCATAAATAACAAAACCACAACCTGTCAGAATGAAGCCAACTACCTTCTGCATTCCTGCTCTGAGTGCATTTGTGGTTATGTCTGTTTTTTACCAGTTTGACCTCTTCTTCTATTTTTTTCATTCGTTAGCTAGATTCAGAATGTACATCACAGTTTGCCGCCCCGAAAATTAGAAATTGCTCTAATTTGAAAATGAAAACGACTTGGACTTTATCGGTCGCCATTCTGTACAGCGTGGACATTAAACTGGAGAGTTCCGAACTTATTTTATGAAAATTCATCTGAAGGAAACTTCTCCATTATATCCGTTAAGTATTGAAAAAAAAAGAAGATATATACAATTCAATGATGCCTTGAACAAAAAAATTCTATACAACATTTATTGAAAAATAATTGGAAATGATTTGTTGAAAATATGTTTGATGAGGATATTTCAACTCACCGAAAAAATACATATTATCGGCGATATTTTAAGTATTAGCCAGGAAAGTAGTTGCTTACTGTTAGATATTTTAACAAAGATCTTCTCATTTCTCGAAAAATAATTCTATCTGATGAGCAGACTTGAGAAATGTTTAGGGCCTAAGGAGAACATTCAAATTCGCACTCAATGTTTTAATTTTTTGCCCTAAAACCATGATTTCAAACTTGAATTGAAATGAAAGCTGTCAAAATCAATGATTACTTATACATATCTCCAAATCTATAATTTTTTGAATTGACAAATATCTGTGAGAAGTATGAAAAGAAAAAAACAATCAATCCAAAATGGAATCACAAGTGTAATTTTTAATTGATCTCCACCAAATCAGCCAAAACAAAACTACATAACCTCAAAAAGTCTTCTTGGTTGGAACCAGAATAAACCATATTACTCAGTGACATCACAAAAAAATGCTCGATTTCAAATCGCCTTGAACCCAGTTCAACAAAAAAAAAACAAATCAATTCAAATAAAAGCACTTACGCTGGACACCAGCACCTTCCTCGAGTAGCCCTTGTTGTCCTGCCTGTCCGCGTTGCTCTGCCTCATCGAGCTGTTCTCCGTGAAGGACATCCTGTCGTTCCTGTCGCTGTTGCCGTACCCGCTGCCCAAACCGCCACCGCCGCCGCCTCCTCCCAAGCCCGAGCTGTTCTGGAACGCTCGCGAGTTCGTGTTCGACGATTGGACGCTGTGGCCGTACATGCCGTCCCCTCCGCCGCCTCCGCCTACAATAACAAGGCCATTGTTTCACCGTTATAAAAAAAAAGAAAAAAAAAAAAGGAAAAAATAATGAAAAAACATTGAATCAAACTTCAGAATCGCAGATAATTGAACCCTATGCTGGAACAACGCTGTAAACGCCAAAAATGTTTCTTTTGGTAAATCGAAAAAAACCGTATATGATCGACTGTTCCATCAAATGAAGTCAAGATTTGCCTGATATTGCTAGCAATGAAGAACTTGACTGGATGATAGGCACAATAGACTTGACCACATGCAGAATTATGATTTAAGAGCATATTTTTCTTTTTTCAATCAAACAACGTTATATATCCACGTCGGTTACAACGTTATTCCAGGGAACTAAGGCGGTTACAACGTTGTTTCAAGATCAAAAATAAAGCACAAGTGAAAAAAGGAAAAGAATTTTAATTATTATTTAGTTGTGTCATAACTGAGTCTGTCACAGAAACGTCCATTTCTGCATAAAACGACGATAAACTGCAGACCCAACACATGTAAACAATGAAAGTGCGCGGGAAACTAGAAGCCGTGATAGCACATACAACGTTGTTCCACAAAATCTCCAAAATTTGACTAACCGAAATGATACCAGAAATCACCATAAAAATGTCCTATTCCCACTATCATGACAGCGGATTGTATAGGTCGCATACAACCTTGTTCCATGGAAATACCGTTTTTATAGATCTTGGCGGTTACACCGTTGTTCCAGCATAGGGTTCAATTGTAGAAAGCAAGAGCAAAAGGATGAGAATAATCCAATAAACGAGAAAAAAAAACGCCCTCTGCCAGGCCCAAGCTGTTCTGGAACGCTCTCGAGCTTGTGTTCGACGACTGGACGCTGTGGCCGTACAGGGTGATTCACCATAAATGTCCCCCCCTCTAGTTCAGTTATTTTTAAACCGATTTCTAAATTTGGATTATCATCTTGAATGATTTTCTATAAAGTTTTTTTCTGCTGCATCAGAAAATACAGGGTGCTCGGAACAAACGATCTACAGGCTACTATTTGATTTTTTTATATGGAACACCCTATTTTTCATTGTATTTTTAGATTCTTGCTGAAGAGCTGATTTCGTCAATGTATCACACTTGGGGTCTAGCGGTAATGATTACAGAGATAGGGTGTTCAAAATCGAGATTTTTCAACTTTAGGATTTTTTTGAGACGAAACTATTCATCATCGGTCAAAACGGCTTTCATGTCCATATCTTAACTTTTGATTTACTATCTTCTGACATTTAATAATTGGAACTATTACGGAGTATCAAAATTCTGAATCTTGAACCACCCTGTAAATGTTCCAATCAAATGTCAGTAGACAGTAAATCAAAAGTTAAGATGGAAACATAGGAGCCGTTTCGACCAATAATGAATAGTTTCGAGACAAAAAAATCCTAAACTAGAAAAATCTCGATTTTGAACACCCTATATCTCTGTAATCATTCCCGCAAGACCCCAAGTGTGATACATTGATGAAATCAGCTCTTCAGCAAGACTCTAAAAATACAATGGAATACAGGGTGTTCCATTTGAAAAAATGAAGTAGTACTCTGTAGATCATTTGTTCCGAGCACCCTGTATTTCCTGATGCAACGGGAAAAAGAATTCTTAAAAATCATTTTGAATAATCTTTCAAATTTTTTAATCGATTCAAAAATGAGTGAGCTAGAGGGGGGGGGGGCATTTATGGTGAATCACCCTGTACATGCCGTCCCCTCCGCCTACAAATACAAGGCATTGATTCACCGATATAAAAAAAAAGAGAGAAAAAAATGGATAGAAAAAAAAAAGAAAAAAAAAGAAAAACAACATGAAAAATAAATAAAAAAACATTGAATCAAACTTCAGAATCGCAGATAATTGTAGAAAGCATGAGCAAAAGAATGAGAATAATCAAATAAAGGAGAAAAAATAAGCCCCCTGCCAGGACCAAGCTGTTTTGGAATATTCTTGAGTTTGTGTTCAACGACTGGACGCTGTGGCCGTACATGCCGTCCCCTCCGGCTACAATTACAAGGCATTGTTTCACCGTCATCAAAAGAAAAAGAGAAGAAAAAAGAAAAAAAAAAGAAAAAAAAAAAAGAAAAACGGTTATCTTTGTACAAGCCGTCCTGAGCGATTAAAAATGTGTTTTGAGTGTTGAAATTGGCGAAATATGACATTAGTGAATTCTTCAGCATTATGAAGATCCAACTAGAAAGTTCTATATCCTAAACTTCAGTACTTAGTAGGGCCTCCCCGATTTAACAAAACCTCATGAAATCAGTTTGGCATAGGCTCTATGAGGTTGTTGATGAAGTCTATTGATATTGCCTCCCATTCTTCTGATATAGCTTGGATAAGGTTGTCATTATTTTGGGGTGCCTCTCGCCATCTCGATAGGTTAAGTTTCATTCGGCTCCACACATGTTCAATCAAATTCAGATCTGGAGATAATGCTGGTCACCACATTCTTCTAACATTATTGTTTTCTAGAGTTCGTAATTTGTCAGATAAGTTGTGAAACACTCAGTATATTGAACAACAATACTCTGTGTCTCATACTTGGGCAATAAATATTGGAAATCAGTTGAAAAGAATCATCGATATCAGGAAATAAGTTTAAATTGAAAATTTTCATCCTGAATTTCAATTAGAGGCGAATTTTTGAAAATGTTTTGAGTTGATAGTCTAATATAGATAATGGATATCGAGAAGGCCGTTTCTGATTATACTGAATCGAATGGGCCATGGTTTCAGTCACCATTTTTGATTTTTTTAACTGAAATGAGATTTTGTCCTATTTTCTTATCAACCTCTATATTCCACAATAGTGCTTTTTTCGTCTTTCATTGTCCTCCACAAAACATGAAAACAGTTCTTTCCAATAGTTAGCTCAAGTGGAGTTCTAGAGAAAAATTTCAAGAAATGCAAGACTCGAAAAAAAATCGAATTTCTGTTCCAATGGCCAATTGAGAGGAAATCACGAAAAAGTCCCGAGATGAGGTCCCAGTGTATCATAATATAACTGATTTTTGATCAGAAAAAAATTTCTCGAGTTCTGGCAGCATTGGGAATGTAGACCATAGTGTAATGGTTCCACTTTACACCCTGTGTAAGTTTTGTTCTGCGGACTTTTTCAGAGTGTTCTAGCTCTCTTCAAAGCCGATGAAACATCTCATCTGATATCTACAACCGCATAAAGATCGGTAATTTTTTCAAAAAATACCGGTCTTCGAAATAGAGTCAAATATTAGGTGCGTTTTTTTGGTTTCCAACTGGGCAGTAGAATTGACGACCAATAAAACGATGTGATGTATTTTGACAGTTGTGACATGCAGCTGATCTTTTTTAGGTGATATAATAATGATATAATTCCGGGATCTTGCTGTTTATCCGTACATAATTATAATTTTAATTTACAATGGTCCAATAATGGATGATGTTCCCGCTTTCTTGTTATCCTCCTTAGTATAGTTGCATTGATTAGAAGGCAAAATACATTGATATTTATCGATGAAACTGATTCCTCAATACTAGAGAGGGTTTTATACTTGTATTAGTCTTCTGATGTTATCTACAGGAATACTCGACTTCAGATTTTCTAGCATTATTATACCAAAAATTCAAAATTATTATGAAGAAGTAATATACCTACCGAAAATAGATTTATCAACATTCAAAACTCATTTCAGGAGTCCATACGTGTTTGATAGTATTCTGGGTAGAATTGCCAACAATTCCAAAATATTTCCTGAGGCGAGTTCACTTTTAGGCAATTTTTAGTTCAGATTTCGAGGTTAGAGTATCTGAAATACCGCCATTTCGTACACTCCCTCCTTAATCGTCTTCCTGTCATTCCGTATGAAAAGGCAGAATGAAAAGTTGGAACCAGTTTCAGAATTTCGTTCAATAAAACGACATAAATTGTCATTCCGGTGGAAGAATCTTGCCAATAAAACGCACCTTATGAGTGGTCCATTTAGTGTGTTGAGAGCTGTAATATACTCACCTCTACCGAACGCATGCATGCCCCCGACGTTCCCGCCCCCCAACCCGCTCCCAGCTCCTACACCCGCCGCCGAATTATTCTGCGCGGCGAAGGCGGCCAGCTGCTGCTGCGCCGCCGTGTTCTGCACCGCGGCCAGCGGACCGGCGGCGGCCGCGGCGGCGGCGTTCTGCACCAGCGACGACAGGTCGGAGGTGGTGAGACCGTTGCCGAGCAGGTTGGACGCGAGGCCGGAGAGATTGGCCGCTTGAAGGACCTGCTGATTGGCCAGGCCGCCCAGGCCGCCCACATTGCCCAGACCTGGAAGAGGGAAAGTTCCGAGTAATGATCGAATGTAATGCAACAAGACCTATCATTTTCAAGTTACTGCATTCGATGTTTATAATTTGTTATTGCATATTCGCAGAGCAAACTGATAACCGGGCATCATCAGATGCCAACTGCATGAATTAATACCCGTTGATGATCGGTGTCTTGGCTAATTGGTCGAACAATTTTTCCAAAAATTACACGAGCGGTAATAGGGGGTACGAAAAAGGGTCTTGTTTGACACCTGCTGTGCTGTTTCAGCCAAATGGTAGGTACATACATACAGGATGCCCGTTTTTCGAGCTTCACCATGGGGATCTCAGTTATTATGAGAGATACGAGGTCGGTTAAATTAAGGCAAAGTTGCGCATTTTCAAGCTGGACATTTATCTGCAAGAAAATTCGATGTGTCATTTTCAGTTTTTGAATTATTAGAAAAAAACAAAAATTCCTGATTTTCTTCTTTATGTTTTCAAACGGAAACCATAAGACCTAGACGTTTCTGACTAGGACATTCTCATGGCACTTTTTTACAAGTGGGGTACGTAGTTTTTGAAAGGTATCAGATTAGTAAAGATGTAGTTTTCATTAGGTATTAGATTAGTATAGGAGTCAGATAATTTATACGACGCTATAAAAGCAGATGTTATTTTATCATTGCTCATGTAAGATGGAAGTAGAGGCCATGGCACCATATCATGAAAATATTTTTATATTTAAACTATCATTGGGCACCAAAGATGTGTATACGACGCTATGAAAGTTCAGAGAACTGGAGATTTTCCCCACAAACTACGTACTTAGCCCATTCGACTGTCTTGGTTTTTCCACACAAACTACCTAGCCCACTCGACTGCCAATAGGGACTAAAAAAACAAAAACAAAAGAAAGTTGAAACTTCGCCGACATATTTCTTCTTTGTGGGAAATCAAGACAGTCGAGTGAGCTAGGTACGTATTTTATGGGCAAGAAATTCAGGCAGTCGAGTGAGCTAGGTACGTAGTTTATGGGAAAAAAATCAAGACAGTCGAGTGTGATTATTTTACTTTCTTTTGTTTTTTGTTTCGTTTTCTATTGGCAAGTGATTATCTAGGACCTTGAAAATTTTTTAGTTTTTTCATCGTATCTCCCGAACTATTGAATTCAGAGAAAAATGTTATAAGGATTTTTTGTAGATTCTATCAAAAGGAATAATTTTGGTTCTTCATCATTTTCAGAAATTTTCAGTTGTTTTCGAGATATTTGGTTATCTGAGAATAAAATTTTCAACACTTTGTTCCATCTTCCAATCAACAAAATGAAAAAATATTTCATGGTTCAGTGGAAGTCAATGAGCTTCATCTATCGATAATCTTTGTTTTTCAATATATCTTCATAGTACCCTATGGGTCGTTAAATTTTTTTTTTCATATTTTTCACTTTATTTCCTGTACTATTGGGTTTACAGAAAAAATTACAGGAAATAATTTGTAGGAATTGTTCCAGTGGATAACTTTGCACTCTTGATAATTTTCGATTTTTCCATTTGTTTTCGATATACAATATTGAATTGAAAGGATTTCAAATTTTGATGTTTTGATTTTCATTTGTTTTTCCATTTTCCGATGGATGCACGAAAAAATGGTTAAATTATAATTTGTTGCGTCATCAAAGAGGCATACGGTGCATTTTTCAAATTTGGATTTAGTCTATTGGTTCAGGAGATATGTCGTTTTAAAGCGAACCGTGTTTTTCGCTTGCAGGACCTGCTGATTGGCCAGGCCGCCCACGTTGCCCAGACCTGGAAGAGGGTGTCGAATTTCAATGGAAATATCCAGAAAGTGAATTAACCCGCGAGGGACCGCGCCAATAAAAAGTTAACTGTGGACCGAGTGGGGTAATAATATACTCCATTGGTTTTGATTGAATTCCAGGACTTCGAGACGAAAAAAAAACGTGGAATAAAACAAACCAACAGCAATGATGAAAAACAAACTTGATTTGATTGATATACCTGAATTGAATAATGAATTTAGAATAAGAAGTTCAAACAATATGGCGGACAAGTGCGGATCTTGTGAGCGAAGTTGTAAAAATACTTATGCAATAAATTGTGTTAAATGTCAAAAATGGTACCACAGTAAGTGCATTAAAATGCAAACTGCTACATTAAATTATTTTGAGAGTGAATTGAAAAATCCCACAGGAGAAAGGTTTAAATGCGAACCATGTGGAGAAAGTGAGGTTAGGTTTTCTAAAGTACTGGATAGAAATCAGAATAAAACAGGTCCCAAGGTGGACAAAGAAGTCACAAATAACGAAATCATGGCTAAACTAATGGAAATGGATGAAAAATATAGTGACCTGCTGAAAAAATACGAAGATCAGGTGAAGGTCAATGACTTGTTGAAAATGGAAATATCATCTATAAAAGCACAATTAGGGAAAGAAAGAAACAAGAATGAACAGCAAGAACTGAAAAATAATATAATAATAAATGGTATACCCTACAAAAACAATGAAAACTTGACTACCATAGTCAAAAATATGCAAGAAATATTACAAGTTCCAAAATCGAAAACAACAGCATATCGAATTGGAAATAAGCGTAGCAACAATGAACAGATGCCTATAAAGATATGTTTCAGTGATGTAAATGAGAAAGACGTATTTATGAAGGCTGGAAAACAGAACAAAATAACCTCCAAGGACATGGGATACGAAGAAATAAACAAGATTTATATAAATCATGATCTAACAAGAGCAAACCAATATCTCTTTAAAGAAGTTCTACAGTACCGTAAGGAGAACAATTATAAATTTATCTGGATAAAGAATGGAAAAATACACCTACGTAAGGATGAAACCAGCAAAATTGAAGTTATTGAAGACTCTATCGATTTAAAAAACTCCAGAGAAAAGAAGACTCAAACAAACAACCATCATTGAAAATAATATATATTAATATACGGAGTGTCAGGAACAAATTGGATGAACTACAGTGTTTGGTAAAACTAAAAAGATGTGATATATTGGTGTTGGTAGAAACCTGGCTATATAGAAATGAGGTAGATATGTTTGGTATCGATGGCTATACAGCTGTACATGCATGTAGGGACTCAAGAGGAGGTGGTGTTGCAATATATATTAAACAAAACATTTTAATCAGAGAAACAAACAGTATTGGAGAAAATAGTGTTTATAACATGGTTGGAGTAGAAATTAGGTCGAGCAGGATGAAAATAATGGGAATATATAGACCACCATCATTGGAAACTCAAGAATTCTTAACCATATTGGATGATCTACTCAGCAAAGAGGACAATGCGCTAATTATAGGTGACATTAATATCAATCTATTAGAAAAATCAAATTCTTCCATAGATTATAAAAATTGTGTGGTACTAAATGGTTTCGAGATCTGGAATGAAATTGATAAACAACATGCAACTAGAGTAACACCTCATTCGCAAACAATTATTGATCATGTACTGGCCACAACAAATATCAAGAACTATCAATTATCATTAGAGAGTAGCACTCTTTCAGATCATGAAATGATAGAGATTATATTATATGTTCAAAGGAATCATCAAGAGCCTAAAGTCAATAAAACATTTAGTAAATTAGATACGAAAAAATATATACAATCATTCAAAGATATCATTGAAGAAAGGGGCAATATAGATACATTTGATAAACTGATAGATACCATACAGGAAGCAAAAGCCAAAGCAACAAGGGAAATAGTTATAATAGTTAGGGCAAATAAAGAGTGGATAACTTTGGAGTTCCTTGAAATGTTGAAAGAACGGGAAAGATTATATAAATTGAGTAGAACATTTCCACTAGATGATAGGATAGTAAATGAGTTCAAATACATAAAAAATAAAGTTAATAATGAAAGGAGGAAATTGAAAGCTAAATACTTTGAAAAAAAATGGGAGGAAGCAGGTAACCATACAAAAAAGCAATGGTCATTTATAAATACCTTGGTAAAGAAAAATAAAGAAGAGAATACTATAACATTCCTAGAAATTGATGATGAAACTGTAACTGATCAGGAAGTTATTGTTTATAGGTTGAACAAATATTTTGTAAATGTTGGTCAAGCAATAATCAATAATATCAATGAAGAACTAATAAATAACCCTAACATTCATACTTTTGACAATGTCTACACTAACAATTCATTATTTCTTAGTAATACAAATGTTGGCGAAATAATCAATGTCCTGAATGAAATCAATAAAAATGCAGCCCCTGGGCACGATAAGATATCAATTAAAGAACTATTGTTGATTATTGAATGGCTCTCACCAGTCCTGGTCACGCTAATCAATGATATATTTGAAAAAGGAATTTATCCTGACATATTAAAAAAAGGAAAGGTCATTCCTATTCACAAATCAGGTTCAAAATCCAAACTAGAGAATTATCGCCCCATTACAGTTGTTTGTGCATTGTCTAAAGTAGTAGAAATGCTTATAAAAAATCGAATTATAGGGTTCATGGATAAATATACTGAACTAGACAAATATCAATATGGATTTCAAAAAAAATCAAACACACAAAGTGACACTACAGATTTCCTTAACTATGTAACAACAAAACTGGATGAAAGTAAATATGTCATCACTGTATTTGTAGACCTTCAGAAAGCTTTCGATGTAGTGGATCATAATATATTATTATCGAAGTTGAATACATTAGGATTGAGGGGTATAACATTAAACTTAATTGAAACATATCTACATTCCCGTGAACAGTATGTCTCGCTTAACAACATAGAGAGCCAGTTAGAAAACATAAATTGTGGAGTACCACAGGGCTCAGTCCTGGGTCCACTGTTTTATTCACTGCACACCCTCAATTTAAAAAATGCAAATTTAATAGCTCGTTACTATACGTTTGCAGATGACACAATACTTGTTTATGAAGGAAAAGACCTAATAGAACTAGAAAGTAGAATCAATATAGATTTGAACCTATATTCAGAATGGCTGTTGAGTAATAAATTGAAAATTAATGTACAAAAAACAGTATATATGTTATTCAAGAATAAAAACAAAGAAAGTCACGAGATTATTATTAAAATTGGAGATAATATGTTAAAAAAAGTAGAAAATACAAAATATCTAGGGCTAATTGTTGACGACAAACTCAACTGGCAAGCACACATAGAACACATGACAAATAAAATTGTTCCAATGATAGGTGCCCTGTATAGATGTCGTGATTACCTAAACAACCATAATAAGCTGATGATCTATAATAGTTATTTCCTCTCAATATTTCGATACTTAATAACGAACTGGGGAGTTTGCTCTAATACGATGATGAAAAAAGTCAAAACATTACAAAACAAAGTAGTAAAGGTACTGTTTGATTTTGATTATAAAACAAATACCAATACATTATATAGTGTCACTGGAATATTACCACTCGATAAAATTCTACTTATTGAACAATGCAAATATATATATAAAGTCTCGAAGAATCAGCAAAAAAGTAATACACCAATGAATTTAGTAAACCAAGTTCACAATCACTATACCAGGGCAAACAATCAAATATATCTAACACAAGTAAAAACTAATGTGGCACTGAATGACCCAATATCCAAATGTATTCAAACTTATAATACTCTACCAAATTTCATCAAAAACAAAGATAGTTATGCATCGTTCAAAAGAGAACTAATGATTTATATGAATGCAATGAATACTTAGTATGTAATTTGTGCTTTTTGTTATGTTTTTTATTTTTTTTTTTGTTAGGTTAAATATGCTTCAAGACTGTACCCAAATATAAAATGTGCATTTTTGTTTGATGTTAACTTGATTAGGTACTTGTTTATACATCATTAAGTTTAAGTTCCATCACCAGCATTATTGCTGATTTGGAAAAAAAATACTATGAATTGTTATAGTTGTATGTTTATTTGTTCAATAAAGTATTTTTTTCTGAAAAAAAAAAAATTTCAATGAACGAATAAATAATATACGCACGTCCTTTTTTCAATTCTTTCTCAATTTTTTTTCTCCTGGATAATATGAACATTTGACTACCATTGCAGGCTGCTCGTTTTGAGGTTGAATTTTCATTTGTTCAGACACGAATTTAGATAGAGAAGATTTCAATTCTCTCCCGCGTAGGGTATGGATATACCCCAGGAACAATTCACCAACTGTTTACTACAATGTGTGCAGAACTAATTACAAAATACATGCAAAGACTTATTAATTGCTCATATTTAGCAGCTGGCGTGATTTTTCAGTGCCGTTCAGATTAAGCAAAAAAAATCGTAATTTGATATCGCCTGGGGTATCTTAAACCCCGTGCGGTCCCTCGCGGGTTAACGAAGTGGCGCCACTGCTTGGTGTTTATGAATATGAATTCTGTTTCGGTTCCGTATGCCGAACTGTCGGATGCTCACTCTTCAGATATCTATCAATAAAGCAAGTAGTTTGAACCGTCTGACGTTGTTTTCATTAAGTACCTACCAAAATGTCCCAATAACTATAATAGGTTATGGGCCCAGGTACACTCACATTGAGTTAAAGTACTAGTGCGTAAACTATAATAGAGGGAAAGTTTGAGTTATAATCGAATGTAATGCAACAAGTTTACTGATGATTACCGAAATGGAAACCCCTTTGATTTTGAAAAATATATTAATATTATGTTAATCAATCTAGTCCTGAGAGCCATCTAGTGGCAAAAGTACTAAGGTATATAAGTAGATTGTCTAAACAACCAAATATTCAACATTCACTTTTCCTTTCGTCTGTATAGTTTATGAGAATAGGTGGGTAGACTATTTTTTTTATTTTTGTCGATTTAATGGTGCTAAATACGTCATTATAGCCACGGTAATTTTCAAACGACTAGAAATTTAACGCATATAAAAACTGATGTCACGAATTCGTGAATAGGTGCAGACAATAGCATAGTTGCTACATGTTGAAATACAAATGGGAACTTCAGAAATATTATTTATTTCCAACTAGGAAAAAGCCAATAACTCAAAGTGGAATGCAATGGTCACAAATAGAGAGAATCTCAAAGTCATTACCACAAATAGTTCATAAAATGAACGAAAATGGTAGATAACGAGAACGATAACGAACTACTTTCCTGGCTATATGCCACGCAGAATATTGGATTACATCCCCCCGAAATCTATGCCATAAAATAAAAGTGCTTCTTTCCTAAACGCCGAGCTGCGCCTTATTGGTTCAGGAACGCGTGACTACCGGTTTCGACCTGTTGGCTCTCATCAGTACAGGGCTGTCCCAGCAATGCTGTTGGATGCCAAAATAAACAACACAAGTACTGACAAAATTAAGGATTTCCTAGCCGGTAAAAACGACCAGCCGCTAGCATCACCGTAACTTTTCAGGCGCGAGCGTTCTCGGGTTAAAAAAATATCGAAATTGCTCTTTATTGAAAAATGTATGTTTTCAGTTATTTGAGTATGTATTTGTATGCCTGTTGTTTTTTTAACCACATGTTGACCTTATCTATACAAATGTAATTTGTCATAAAGGAATATAAATTCTATTATTATTTGTATCATTAACACTATCATTATTATTAAAATTGCAAGCTCGCTATTATGTTTCATTAGCATTAGTTTTATGAACAAGTAACACCAGAGTGAAGAACGTGGAAAAAAAATAAACATCAGTCTCAAAATTCTGTCTCAAGTGGTCAATCTCTCGAGTCTGGATCATATACGTATTAATAATCAATACGGATAATCTCTATCTGTTTCCATAGCGAAACATGAAGCCGATTTTTGAAGACAAATGACTATCCACAAGGAAAAGTTTTGAAACGATCAGACACATACTGCTTTGATTGAAAGGCTAGTAAACGTCATTGTCCACCGAAACGCATGTCTTTGATGACTACTATAATAGCGCATGGCGCATGCGTATCATGCCATCGAATCCTTATGGATATTCATTTGTTTCATATTTTTGGCTTCATCCTTGCACCCGTTATGATCCGTATTGTTTATTAATACGTATATGGTCTGGATCCAAATCAATGTGTTACATGATCTAAGGTTACAGCATAGTGGAAGGAGAAGATGGTGTGCTCAACAGAAAGCTCAAACTCGTCTTGTTCTGCGCATGACGTCAGCTGGGATATAACTGTCATTGTTATTAATTGTTTTCGTGATATGAAATAATTTCGAAATGCCTTCTTCTTTCGTTTCTGGTTATGGAAATTCCAACTAACATACAAAAGGCACAGATATTGAATTTTTCTGCTTTTCCAAGAATGGAGACCTAATGAAACGATGGGAGCTTGCTGCCGACAGAATATAAACTCAAATTATGGTACCTACCTTTTATTCCTTATATCCTCATTCCAAAGTATTCATCTATCATATTATCATCACATTCATATTACAGCACGTATTTCTTCAAAACATTTCCATGCAAAATGTTCCCAAACAAGTGCGAAAGTACGGTTCTTGAATTACACACCTCCAAAAAATCACAAATATTTGAAACAAGATACCATTCCCACAAAACATCTTCCGAATATCAAGTCAGAAATAATTGAAAATGAATTCAAAACTCTTAATTTCTCACAAATATAAATTGCAGCAAAGATTTGAATAACAAAACGGCAAAAATTGATGCTCCTGTTGTCGATGTCGGAGCAGAAGCCAATTCATTTTAGGAAAAAAACATTACCTCCCGTAGTAAATTGACAGGTTTGTGTGTTCAATGCAGTGATTAGATAAAATAATCAAATAGTTTTGTGTTTTTACCTTGGAGGGCGCTGGCTAGCTGCAAAGAGCTATTGGGTACGGCTCCCAACAAACCGGCTCCAGCGCCGCTGCTCTGCGTATTCGAACTCAGCGACGGCAAGTTGTGGGCCACGTTCTTCAAGGGTTCCCCGTTGGGCCCCAAGCCCATACCCACGGATTTCAAGCCGTCCGGCAATTTCATAGCGTCATTCACCTAAACAAATATAGAATTTTTCCTACTGAGCAATACGCACATTTTTTCTCATTTCACTTTATAAAAGCACTAATTAAATACATAATTTTGTATACACATGTAGTAAAATGTTTTTCTTCATTCTATGTCCAATAAAGTTCATTTTATTCTTCTTCATACTGAGTCGGCAGTTACTTGATAAAAAAAGAAACGATAAAATTTCCACAAAATTCTTGATAGCATATTATATTGAGATAACATTAACGGATTAAGAAAACAATTTCAAGAGCGGTGAATTGAGGTCTAATAATTGATCGTTGAGTAAAATATTAGAATTTATGCGCTTGTTGATTTTCGATGATCTCAAATGATTAGTTCCAGTCAATTATATCTAAGAGGGAAATTTCGAAATTGTCATCAAAACCATGATTTTATTATAATATTAAAAATAAAACTCTGAAATGATGTTCGTGAATATGGTGTTTGAACGTTCTACCTGTCTGACCAATATATACAATAGGACAAGTTCCACATTATCTCATCAATGACATTATGATGAGAGACATCGACATCTTTGTAAAAACAAACAATGTTTCACCTCCATGTGAGTCAAAAAAATGTTTTTCTTATAACATTTTGTATATTTTCACATGTCTTTACTTTTAGTAATTTCTTAAATACGGCTGAAGATGGACTTTTATAAGTTCGAAACATGTCCCGTTGAATAAACACTTCATATTAAAGTTGTGGAGATGACCTTGAGCTTTCCTTCCTCCTTTTTCTTTCACAGTTTAGTTTGTATACACCTGATTTTTCGAATTTAGAAGTTGCCTTCATTGTTTGTGTCAAACCTTCTCATCTTGATAAAATTTCCACAAAATTCTTGATAGCATATCATATTGAGATAACATTAACGGATTAAGAAAACAATTTCAAGAGCGGTGAATTGGGGTCTAATTATTGATCGTTGAGTAAAATATTACAATTATGCGCTTGTTGATTTTCGATGATCTCAAATGATTCGAGTTCCAGTCAATTATATCTATGAGGGAAATTTCGGTATTTTCATCAAAACTAGGATTTCATTATAATATTTGAAATAAAACTAACCAATGATGTTCATGAATACGGTGTTTGGACGTTCTACCTGTCTGCCCAATATAAACAATAGAACAAGTTCCACAGTTTAGTTTGTATACTCCTGATTTTTCGAATTTAGAAGTTGCCTTCATTGTTTGTGTCAAACCTTCTTATCTGGATAAAATTTTCACAAAATTCTTGATAGCATATCATATTGAGATTACATCAACGGATAAAGAAAACAATTTCAAGAGCGGTGAATTGAGGTCTAATAATTGATCGTAGAGTAAAATATTAGAATATATGCGCTTGTTGATTTTCGATGATCTCAAATGATGACGGAAATAATATTTAAAATAAAACTCAGAAATGATGTTCGTGAATACGGTGTTTGAACGTTCTACCTGTCTGACCAATATATACAATAGGACAAGTTCCACCAACAAAAATCAAAAGACAAATAATGTTATTATATTAATTTACACTACAGGACATTTGAGGGTAAAAGTGACAACATGGTGTCATGAAATGCGGGCCGTGCCTTGTCAGTTCTCAGCATTCAGCACATTGTTGCCAAACGTTCAACATCAACATGATATTTTGTTATGGAGTATAAGAGATATTTATACATGTTGGTTGCACGAAAAAGTAGAGCATGAAATATTATATCATGGCTTCCTTATATGTATCATGTTCTATCTCCTGTGTTATTCAACTACAGGACTCTTTTTGATAAATTGATTATAATATATTGTTAAAGGATGTGGACTTTGATTAAAGCAGCCTCTTCTATGTATTTATAATTTAGCAATAAAATCGAATACATTCCCAGACTTATGGAAAGAAGCTATAGTAACACCTATCCATAAGTCTGGCAAAGTCTCAGAAATTGAAAACTATAGGCCATAGCAGTTTTATGTGCTACTCCGAAGCTATTTGAACAGATTATTTATGCGAAAATGTGGAGTGGCTTTGGAGGGAATGTTTGCGAAGAACAGCACGGATTTGTTCCGAAAGAATCAACCTCTACAAATCTTTCATACATTTTCTCATCATGTCCACAACCATCTGAATAACAATAAACAGAAGGCTTTCGACAAAGTCAATCACGATGTGATACAGCAAAAGTTCCATGAATATGGCGCTGATCTCCAAGCATTCAAATTGTTGGCCTCCTACTTGAATAACCGATACTTCACGGTCAAATATGCAGGAAACTGTTCAGGGAAAGTTCGCGCTAACTCCGGAGTCCCTCAAGGATCAAACCTAGGCCCGCTACTGTTTCTAATATTCATCAACGACCTTACACATAATATAATATGAAGTATTTGGAGTGCCTAATATTTGCAGATGATCTGAAATTGAATAGGAAGATCGAAAGCCCACAAGACTGCGTGAAATTACAAGAAGATATCCAAATGTATTGTCCTATCTTGTAGCCGAAAATTATCTAAAAAATATTATACCATTACACGTTCATGTCAACGGCAGTCGCGTGCGGGAAAGAATAACTTTCCGCACTTGTTAGGGAAATTACTATATCAGTCCACTCGTCCATTATTCATGCCAAAAAGAAATCCACGTGAATATCATTACCCTGTCCATTCTGACGGCCAAGGTGCGATCGTGAAGCTGTCGGTTGCCCAGCATAGAAATCGCCTGCACCGCCTCTACAGGGTGGTCGTATTCCACGATGGCAAAGCCGCGGCTTTTTCCGTCTTTGTCGATGGGCAAATCCACGCGAATCACGCGACCAGCCAGACGGAACACCTCTTTGAGCTTCTTCTTGTCGACGTTGTATTCCAGCTGCGGAGGGGGGAGGGTCGAGAGGTTAGAGATTTTCAGGGGGTAACTGACATTTATTGCGTGTGACGTTCACTTGCAATACTTACCCGACTGCACAGTTTTAATTTGGAATTTTTTTATGAAACTGAGATTGCCACAAAAATCTGTTGAATTTATAGGACAATTATTCAATTTTATAACATGATTTATTTGGAGCTGTATAAAAAAGAGAACAAATTGCATATTCAAAGACAAATCAGATCCTTCAACTTTCATTCATTAAATTTTACTTTGGAATACGTAAATTCTATGTATGTCATATATAGACGGAGATGCGAGTGGCAAAAAAATCTAGTTTTCTAACTGCTGAAATTTCGATAATATGTAGTATTTACGGTGTGAAGCAATAACCTGCCGTCAGTCAGCTAGTTTTTTAGGGATTAGCACAGGGCGACTTCAAAGTAGTTATCATTATTCAATTTGTCCTATATAAATTGAAAATTTCGAATTTAAATTTCAATGAAATTAATTCATTACAGAATCATGGAACGAGACAATCAAATTTACTAATAGCAAATACGTATAAGTCAAACATCGGCAAACAATCCATTTTTTCACACAGGAATTGAGGAATATACAGGAAGCAGCTGAGTCAAAATCAACTTGAAAAAATATCTGCTTCAGAGACTTTGATAATTCCATTTCTTATTTGAATATCTACTCATGGTATGCATTGTTTTTGTTGTTATATCTTATCATTATTGCATAATTGTATGTATAACATTAAATATATTGTCATTGATCAATCAAAAAAAAAAAAAAAGCAGGGACCGAACCACGGAGGAATTCTGGTGTATATATAAGATTGAGAGTTCCCTGGATTTCCTTGGAATTCCCTGGAATTCCTTGGGTGATGTGCGGTTTATTCCTGGTCTACAAACAACTGAAATTCCTTAGATTTTCTTGCAATTATTTGCAGTATAATTCTGGTGTACAAACAACTGGAATTCCTTGGAACTCCTTGGATTTCCTTGTAATCCCTTGGATTTCCTTGAAATTCCTTGGAGTTTCTTGAAATTCTTTGTATGAAGTGCGGTATAATTCTGGTGTACTGGAATTCCTTGGAACTCCTTGGAATTCCTTGTAATCTCTTGGATTTCCTTGAAATTCCTTGGAGTTTCTTGGAATTCCTCGTGTGAAGTGCGGTATGATTCTGGTGTACAAACAACTGGAATTCCTTGGATTTCCTTGAAATTCCCTGGAATTCCTTGGAGATTCCTTGTGTGAAGTGCAGTATAATTCTGGTGTACAAACAACTGGAATTCCTTGGATTTCCTTGAAATTCCCTGGAATGCCTTGGAGTTTCTTGGAATCCCTTGTGTGAAGTGCGGTATATTTCTGGTGTACAAACAACTGAAATTCCTTGTGAAATTGAAGTTTGGTGTACACAATTTTGACCGCGGTTTACCCCTCGAAAAACATGTAGGTCACAACAGTTTTCTGAAATCTGAAAATTGGTTTCTGCATAGTGAATTAACTAAAAAATTATGTTGATACAGTCAGTCTTGAAAATATCGTAAAGGGACGCGTGGCAGCAGCAAGTCATAAAAAAAGTATGATTGGTGGTGAAACGGGTTTTCCTAAAATGTTGAATTTGGGTACAAATTGTTGATAGTGGGATACATAAAAAAACATAGTCCGTCCGAATTTTTATTCAACATACGCCTTCAGCAGTCGCGGTGCCGGCTGATATTCAATGATGAAATAAATGTTTCTGGGACAAATATATTGAAAATGTATTCAACAATATCTTGTTTTTATTAAATATTTGAAAAATACAACAATTTTGTTAATGAAACAATATTTTCTTAACGGCATCCACATCATTTTCAAGGTAATTCACTATTCAGAAACCAATTTTTAGATTTAAGAAAACTGTTGTGACATACATTGTTTTTTAACAACTTTGAAGCCGTCCCTGTGATAATCACTATGGAAATAGCTGACTGAAGACAGGCTATTGCTTTACACCCTATACTACATGAGATAATATCCAAATTTCAGCCTTTAGAAAACTGTTGCATTTTTCTCGGTCTAGTATGAACAAGATAACTGATATTCTGAAAAATATGTCTCAATTTTATGTAAATATTTCTACCCAGTCTTACAAGAAAACCTTTGGGGGCAAAGAATGATTTTTTCCTGTTCATTGGTTCACCAGATTTTGACCTCCAAACACAATGTTGAAAAACAGGTGAGCAAGAACAGCAAAATAAATTTCCAGTCCAGTCCACTGCAGTTCTAGTGTGGATATTCGTTTTTTATGCAATCACCAGAAAAACTTGACTAAATGAAGCCATCATGATTTTATGAGATCCCAGTAGTTTTTGATAGGAATAGTAATTGAGACCTTTGAAATATGTAGAACAAGAGAATCCATATTTTTTCTTCTGATTTAGGTCAAAATGATGACTATACAAAAAAGTGGCCCCTCCTTATAGACATTTAACAGCATACCAGTTTCTGAAGTATTGAATTTGAGATGCCATTGCTTACAAAAACTGAAATTTGATGTTTTCCCAAGTGATTATCCCACTTTCATATCGGTGATACAGAATTACTGTTTCTTGACAATATTCATATTCCATTCTTGATGTAAGCAGCCCAACGAAATTGTTCTCTGGATGCCTCTACTACACAGGACTTTTTTGTCTCTGGGAATACTAGAGCTTCATATACTGATACTATTCTTATCCCACAAGGCTCAAATATTACATATTCTCAAAGGATGATCCCATACTTCCATATAAATGATACAGAATCACTGTTTCCTGACAATATTTATATTCCATTTTTGATGGTAGCAGCCCAACAACATTTTCCAATGGATGCCATTACTACACAGGACTAGAGCTTCATAGGCTGATAATATTCTTATACCACTTGGCTCAGACATCACATAGCTTGACATTTTCAATAGGAAGTCATTTCCACATTGTCAATGAATATGAACAAAAACTATCAAGGACCCACTGGAAATCAACGGAAAATCTTTGATGTAAGTTCTCTCAAATCCATAGCCCAATTCAATATTCTTTTGCCATTCTTGATGTGAGCAGCACAACAAAATTTTTCAATGGTGTCACTATTTTTTTCATGGGAGACTCAGGTCCCTGGGAATAATAGAGCTTCATGGACTGATTGTTTTCATCCCATATTGATTCAATATTTCATAGCTCAGCATTTTCAATAGAATTGTTGATGAATATGAAAAAAATATCAAGGACCTACTGAGAATTAACAGAAAATCTGTGATTAAAGTTCTCTCAATACCATATACCAAATTCAATATTCATGTTCCATTTGTGATGTAAACAGCCCAACGAAATTTTTCAATGGAAGCCACTACAGAGGACTTATTTTTTGAAAGACTCAGGTCTCTGGGAATAATAAAACTTCATGGGCTGATTGTCTTCTTATCCCATATGGCTTCAATATTACCTAGCTCGGAGTTTTCAATAGAAAGTTATTTCCACATTGTCGATGAATATGAACAAAATATCAAGGACCTACTGAAAATCAATAGAAAAGCTGTGATACAAGTTATCTCAATTCCATAGCCCAAATTCCAAAATTTTGTATTGGTGATTCATCAACCATTATGTAACAATTACTGGGGGTGTCCCAAAATATTCTAATGCAGCTATGTATTGAAAAAAGAACTAAATACTGAGATGAGCAATAGCAGCATTCCTGATTTAGGAATCTCAGAAGCCAAAGGACAGCAGAACAACATATATTTTGGCACACCCTGTTGTTTATATTGTCCTAAAGCCTCCTGTATTTTTGAAAATAATGAATCAGCCCAACCACCAATTGAACCATTTTTGGATACAACACATGGAAATATCATTGGAATTGTCAAATTCTGAAACAACATCAAAATTACCTGATTAAAATTGCAAGTTGGAACCAACCAGTTCCAAACACAATGCTTATATTCAAAAAACAAGTCATGAAAACATTATTAGAACCACTTCTATTCATTTATTTTAAAATATTTTCAGCAGAAATCATTTTTTAAGGTGGATTCAGGATGTTTCTGAAGTAAAAGATGCAATCCAAGATGAAATTATGAACCCCCAAATAACCTGATTCCAAAACTCTACTTTTTTCATGATGAACGAATGAACCAATCTGCTGCTGAATCTCAAGATGAGAGCTGTAGACAGAAAAGATAAATATTAGTGTCCATGATTTATATTCAAGTTCCCATGGGTATACACAACAATGCAAATTTACCAAGTCTGTAACATCCTTGTCCAAATTTCAACCAGTCATCTGCTGAAAACCATGATATCTCAGAAGATGATCCATCATTATTTCAGAATACACAAGGCCTCCCAACAATACAAAATAAAAACAATCTCAAAAGTATACTTACATTAGCAACAAACACCCTATTACAAAGAGGCCCATCAATATTCAGAGACTCAAGGAAATGAGGACTCAACCCATAAGTGTTGCCCCACTTATCATCACTCCTCAGAGACATAGAACTACCTCCACCACTGTTGTTCCTGTGATCATCCCTGAACCGATCACTGTCTCTGTTCCTCCTACCCCCGCTTCCACCAACCACTGCCCCATGCTTGTCTCGAGTGATACCAGCATCATCCTTGACCACCAACTTACGACCCTTGACTTCATAACGTTGCATGATATCCAGAGCCTTATCAACAGATGCAGAATCGGAAAATTCGACGATACCGGAGCCCTTGGGCTTGTCGTTATCGTCTATGAACAACTCTACAAATTGAACGTCGCCGACTTGATCTCGAAACAGGTCTTTGATGTCTTGCCACCGGTACTCATAAGGTATGTTTGATACGTACACTCTGTTTTGGGAGGACTTCATGCTGCGTACTTCCCGGCCGCGGTCATTGCTTCTGTCTCTGATGGAGTCGTTGTTGCGGGAGCTCCTGTCTCCGCCACCGCTACGCCTGGGGCGGTCCCTGTCGCGGTCTCTTGAACGCTCTTTGTCGTCCATTGCACTAGTCATAGGCATTTTGCTTATAGGCTGCAAGAAAACACAGTTTATTTTGTGTAAAAACCGTAATTGGATCGAAAACAAGATGTCTGCGGGGACGCCGAAAATGTGTGCTGATAACCAATATAGGTTTGTGATCTTCAGATGAGTCATAAACAATTTTATTATAGAAATGGAATAATCAAATGAGTTATTGCTTACCCCTCACCCCAAGTGCACTAGATTTTCTTGGTATTTACAACCAAAACCGCCAAAAATGTTGAGAATCCTAGCACAAACGATATCGATATAGACAAGAAAGGAAAAGGAACTATGGATTATGGAACAAGAAGGGGGACATGGAACAAGGACATTGGACAAGCAATTAGCAGTGTTGCCAGAAGAAAAAAAAAACTAATTGTACTGAAATCACTATTGAATTGTACTAAAATCGAGTGGAATGTACCAGACATGAAATATTGAGAAAATCGATGAACGATAATTTTTATTTCTCAGTGTCAGAAATGACTTCATACTTCATCATATATAAAAAAGTGTGGAGAAATTAAATGAAATGAAAAATGTCACATCAAGTACGTAGCCAAAAAGATACAAAACATATACAGTGTCATCCATAAAAAATGACTAGCTTCATTGAAATATGGAAAAAAATCAGAAAAAACATTTCCCATAGGTGACATCCTTAAATAATAGCTAAAAAGATACACAATATATGCAGCATCATCCATAATAAAAGATGACTGTACATCAAATATTTGAAAACCCATCAGGAAAGAGTACTGTACTGACAGTAGTGACAGTTGAAGTTGATGATGTCTCTCATTATGGTCAGCCAGCTGGTTGGATGATATCCATAAGCAGCTCCGTCAGGCCAACTGAAGAGATAATAAGCAGATGATCTGCCAGTCATTCACACTTTTGTTTTTATTTCTCGTTTTGTGTAATAAATGTTCAATTGTACTAAACTTGAGCTGAATGTACTGACCAAAACATGAAATTGTACCAGAATTAGGTGAAATGTACTTATGTACTAGATGGTACTAGAGAGTATGAATTGTACTGAATCCAATGACCTGAAAATGTACCAGCTCGAAGGGGACTGTAGGTCAAGGTCATGCAGTTTCCAGTTTTATTGTAGACATTCTGTTCCCACCACCGCTACCAGAATGGAACAAATAAAACGCGACTATTGTGACACTTCCTACACGTGACGGATATTTGTCATAATAGGTGCGTTCGGTTATAACATATCTGTTAGCTCGGAAAGCGTTCGATAAATCAGATCTGCTTCCTCTGTCTAATCTGCCCCGTGTTCGTTAATTGTCAGAGCGGGCTGAAAGATGTAATCTGTTTGCTCCGCCTTGAGAATCAGATCATTCGGATCTGATCGGTTGTCAGTTGTCATCAAATCAATGTCAACATGTTATTGAAATTATATATCTCGTTTGTGTCGAAAAATGACTTGATCAACTGGAAACGAAACACGAAACTGAAATTTGTAGAATCCTTCTTGCCCAGAATGACCGACGAATTTGCTGTAGGTAGCATTATTATAAACAGATGTGCATTCATTGGTGTGAAACGCCTATTTCTAATCTGATATGGAATTCCGATATTTTCAAAATATATAAATCCAAGTAAACTAGGGTCCCTTGATGGAAATAAGTAAACAACAACAAACATTCAAAAAAACTTTGATGCCCTGACGTGTTTTTAAACGTAATAAGATTAGGTGAATTGTTTCTGATTTGTTACTTCTGACAGGTGGTGATCACAATCTACTACCTCGTCACGTGACACCAAATCTGCATCTGCTCGCTCGGCTCCGATTTTGTTAAACCGAACGCACCTAATGGTCCTAATGTTGGCAGTGCTGCTTTCTTGAAGCATGCTATTTTTAGGTTATGTTTTCAACTTTCTTTCAATCAAAAATCAAAACGAAGAAAACAATTTCCATAACAATCACGATTTTTTCCCGATTGATAAATATTTACCATGGGTAAACGAAAAAGAGGTCGTTGTGTTAGGAAGAACACCAACAGTCAAATAGAAGCCAACGAAGTTGTGCAAGCTCCACATTCTTTTGTAATACATAGAGGAATCCCCGGAGGAAATGCCCTAGAACTGACGAAAGATTTCAGAAAAGTAATGGAACCTTACACCGCATCTTCCCTCAAAGTATGTACCCTTTTCTACCCAAATTCAGTATTTTAATAACAATGTCTTCAGGAAAGAAAGAAGAATACCATCAAAGACTTTGTATCTATAGCAGGGCCTCTACATGTCTCCCACTTATCTATTTTCTCACGAACTGAGTTGGGCATGTACCTCAAAATTTTACGCCTACCCAGAGGTCCCACCCTGACATTCAAAATCCATAACTTCTCTTTGGCCAGAGATGTAGTTTCTTCACTCAAAAAGCAAAGGGTTGTGGAAGATGCTTTCAAACACTCCCCACTCATTGTCTTGAACAGCTTCAGTGGAGAAGGGCTGCAGTTCAAATTGATGGCTTCAATGTTCCAGAACATGTTTCCAACTATAAATCTTACAAATGTTGATTTGAACACTGTTAGGAGGTGTGTACTGATGAGTTACAATGCTACAACTAAGCTTGTAGACTTCAGGCACTACAATATCAAGATTATACCTGTGGGGGTTTCCAAGGGGGTGAAAAAAGTTGTGCAAGGAAAAGTCCCAAATTTGGCAAACTGTAATGATATTACAGAGTTTTTCACAAAGTGAGTAATGATGTGGAATTAAGCAGAGAAGGGTTGGATTTGAATAATTTTTAGGGTTGGAATGTTGTCAGAAAGTGAGGTTGAGGATGATCCTCAGAACCATGTGACTTTAGCCCAAAAAATCATTTCAAGAGGTAATATGGAGCAAGGAAAATCTAGTATTAGATTGACAGAGCTTGGACCAAGGCTAACACTGCAATTGATAAAAATAGAGGATGGTTTACTAGATGGAGAAGTTTTATATCATGACTCAATCCACAAAACTGATGAAGAAAAGATAGATATTCAAGAGAAAAGACTAGCTAAACAGTAAAGCCTCAATTTTCATGAAAAAATGATTGTATCAATCAATGATTATGTATGTTTTAGAAAGTTGAAGGAGAAAAGAAAAAAGGTTCAAGATGCCAACAAGAAAGCTAAAGAGCAGGCAAAGCAAGATCATAAAGAAAAATCATTAAAGGGGATGAAGAAAGATGATACATCTGAAATGACAAAGAAAATACCTTCTAGTAATGAAGATGGGGTCCCCTATGAAGCAGATGATGATGCAGAGTATTACAGACAAGATGTTGGGGAAGAACCTGATAAAGGCAAGTTTCTTCAAACATTATAGGGCTGAACAATAATTATCCTTTGTTTTTTAGATTTGTTTCCTGTTAGATCTGCAATTAAGAGAAAATTTGATGCTCCTTATAGTCAATCCAAAAGACCCAGATTGAATGATGAAAGGGGTTCTAGAAGTGACAAGCAAAATGGCAAATTCAAAAAGTTCACCAACAAAAGTAGAGGTGAAAATGGCAGAGGATTCAGTAAATTCAACATCAGAGATCAGTCAAACTCCCCACACAAAAATAAATTCAATAAAGGTGATAGTAAAAGAGGAGGAAATAGTAAATTTAAGAAGGTTGACAAAACAAATTCACAAAATAGGGACCACAGGCCAATTGGAGGAAAGTTCATAAGGAAATCAACAAAAAAAACTTTAAATAAATCGAATAAAAGATAATTCAATACTTGTAATATGAAACATTATGAAATATTTGTTTTATCATGAGTCTCTTTTTCATGCCTCAATCTATTTTCTTGTCTTATTTTTGTTTCTCTTGTTCTTCTCTCTTTCCTAGTTTCTTCCCTTGCTGTGTAATATCTTTCCCGAAAATCCATTATCTCATTTTGAGCAGTGTGTAAGGGGTTGAAGGTTTCAGTTTTTTTGTAAGTCAACAAATGTCTAGATGTAACTTTAGTCAAAGTTTGTTCATTATTTGCCACTAGTTCAAGGCATGGGTGAGATGGAAGATAATTTTCATCATAGTCTTCTCTGAAAAAACAAAAACTATATATTTTTTATCAACAGAGATGTATACAAATTTAACTGGTGGGCTCACTCTTCAATTGTTTTGTCAGACTAACTCTCGATATGGAACAATTGCAAGCCAGTTTTGGACGTGGGGTTCAGGTATTTGACGATAGAGGCGCCATAATCGGAAAATCGTCAAAAACTTGGTTCTGTGAGGGATGAATCTATTTCCATCATTGTTCTGTGGTCGAATTCCGTCAGTGACATCTGTCAATTCGTATTCAGCGATTTAGAATTCGAAAATTCGGAAAATTCGTACGAGATATAAAGTGTTTTAATCCTGTAAATGTAAATGTTGTTCATTAGTGTTCAATTCTTTAATTGTTGTTTAGTAGGCTTGTTTGGTTTATAGTGTTTAGTTTTTATATTTCATCATGGACTGGCGACTGGCGTGCGGATCCTATAAAAATCCGCAACTCCCTATGTTTTCTGTACCAAAAGTAAGTACGAATTCAACTAACTAACATTATAAGATATTATTCAAGATTAAAGTACAGACTTTTAGAAAGATGCCACTAATTGGTGATTATTTTATAAATAAATACTGTGCTCAACATTTTCATTCAAATTCCAATTTGAAATAGAAGCAAGAAATCTTTTTTGTAACCGATTTTAATAAGCTTCACTTCTTTCATGACATGAACCTATTTAAAGCATGAACTCTGATGAATTTCCTCTTTGAAGAACCAGAACAAAGAATGTATTAACTATTGAAATAGACCAATATCATAATACACAGATAAGGTAACTGGTAGGTACTCACCTTAGAAATTTATTCACACCAGTTCACGCTAATATTTCAAATCACTAGAATAATACTGTTGTAGAACAGAGATTTTCTTTTTTTTTATGGTGAATTAGGTATTATACACAAAATTTAGAAACTATGGAAGTCGTCCCTAAGGAACACTTGACCCCAATCTCAAAAATAACCATTTTTTCAGCTCAAGAACATTTATGACATATTGACGTTTCGATCCTTTGATCAGAAATCAGTTCACTGCTCTGATCCAAATCATATATGATCCAAATAGTTATCGGTCGGTAATATGTTTCCTGTAAATATGGATTGTAACCAGGATGAGCTTAGTGAGATTTACCCCCATGTCAAGTATGTTCATCAAAGGTTTACCAGAGTAGGCTCCATGGAGAAACTTGCAAACGACCTTCAATAGGGAGCAAGCACACCAGTTAAATTTCTATACATCTCTTTATCAAAGATATATTTGAAACTATTAAATCTTACCTAAAAACTGGGAACCAACATACAAGTCTTCCTCCTACTCTCAAATGTTTTGCAGAAAATGAAAGAAGATCACTATACAAACTGGATATCCCATATTCTGTTTTGGCAGGAATGTGAGTAGACAAATGCTCTTCTTTCACAGCATTGCACTCTTTAGCAGTGCCCACTCTCTCTGTAGATTCTCTGATACCATAAGGTGCTGAAACACTGAAATAATTGTAATTTTTAGGGTTTAGTTTTGAGTGCACTCACGGTCAGTAATAATGGCATCCAATTCTATATTGCTCCTCCAAAAAGACACTGAAAAATCATTTACAAGCACATCCAAGTACCGATTTTCCAAGTTGTACTGTTTCATGTTAGCTTTAATGCTTTCATCTTTTTCTCTTTCCTAAAAAATTCAAGATAGAAAGGATCAATGATAAGATGGCAATATAAATATCCAGTCAGACCTTTTGGGTTATTCTTGAAGGTCTAGTTCTGGCATGTAGCATCAGATAATCAATATCTGTACCAAAAACATAAGCCCCAAATTGGGCAGCTGCAACTAATAGAGAGCCTGATCCTACAAAAGGGTCTAAAACTATATCACCTTCTTTGACTCCAGCTTGATTTGCCATTAGGAGGGACAGTTGTGCATCCATACTTGTATTTCCTATGAATTTTCTAGTTTTCAATGATAGCTTCTGGATCAATTGACGTAAACCATTTGCAATCTGTTAAAATAATATAGAAACCAACTGGGGGTAGTTGATTTGACTTGGTTGACTTACCCATCTACCAAAAAACACATCATATGGTAAATCTGGAGGATCATTTGAAATGATTCCATAATACTCAATGTACTGTAATGTAACATCTGGTTTTCTAAGATCAACAGGTCCCATCACTGGCAAATAATTGAAGGATTCAATTTTGTCAACTTTTTCTTTTTGAGTAAAATGTTTACAGAATGTTTCTACTTCTATCTTGAATGATTTATCAGGTTGCAAGTAGGGTGCCATTAAATGATGTGGATAAAGTTTCAGTTTCTCATGTAGGTCTGGAATGCTTTTACCATGTGCCCATAATTCCAGGCAACTTCTCAGAGATACTGCCCTACTTGCCAAGAGTCTGACATCTTTTTCTGATGCAAACTCTACTATCCAGTATGGTTCAATGTCTTTTGGTTTCTGTATGAACTTCATTTGAATATTCAATAGGGAAAGTAAGGAATTCATTTCCTGAAAAATGTATTATAACAGGTTGCTGTGAAAAAACTATTCTTGAATTAAGTACCGCAAATCTAAACTGGACATTTTCCTGTGCAAACCATAAGAGGTAGGTTCTCCAAGGGGTGTTCATGTTGAATAAAGATGGTTTGGCAAGATCAGCTCAACCAAATACTTGAAAGGATGAGGTCGCTGAAGCCACTTTTCTACACGGTTAAGTACCACAAAATTTTGTAAATTTATTATCAGATCTTTGAAAATAAACAATAACTAATAACACAGAGAATCAAAACAAAAAGAGAATGAACTAAGGACTTGACAATGACTTCCTGAGTTAAAAATATTTTGTAGGTTAGAGTCAAAGTACCTCAATCTTCCAAATTTATATGGCTTTGCTATAGATGTGCTCTGCTAAAAACATACTGTTTTCTTAGGTTTGTTAGCCAGTTATATTCTTCTTATTTGTTTGTAATTTGCTTACAGTGAAATTTGAAAATTCAAATTTTATGGCATTGTTCATAAATCGTCTGTTTAAAAATTCTTCAATTTCATATTATTTCAGGAATTTCCTTTCATATTCAATTAACTTAAAATCATTACTTAAATCAAGGATCTTCTGATTTTGGGTGAATTTGAAACCGTGGATACATAAAAAAAATGAATAAGTTTATTTACTTCCTGCTTACAACTTAGGCGAAAGTTTAAATGGAGAGCCAGGAAGAAAATAATATAATTAAACTCTCCCAAGCTAAAGTTCCAAGTACTCATAATTTCAAATGCACTAAGTGTAAGTACACCGAAGTTTCCTTCAAGCTACATGAATATGCCTATATTTATATATAATATTTTCATATTTTTTTGATGATATAGTTGATCCGCTATGGGTACAAGTATTGATTAATTTGAGAATGAAGCATTCCAAAATGTTTACAAGACGAAGAAATTCTGCTTCAGAAGGATGGAAGTATAATTTCTCAATATCAGAATATAGTTATAAAATTAGTATATCTTAACTAATTTTTTTAGACTAGTCTTTGATGAATTAAAAGAGTCTGGAGCCCCTGACTATGTTACCATCTCCAAAATAAAGAAGAAATGGATGAATTTGATGACAAGATATAGAGTAAGTATAACTATATGATACATGATGCATTTATTGATAACTTTCTTTACACATCAAAAAGCTCATTGAAGAGTATCAAACCTTTTTTTCAGCAAATAAAAAATACAACAATGAATTCTGACTGTATAACTTGGCCTTATTATGAGCCCATGAATAATGCCTTGGGAAAAGATTTTGATACTGATGCAGATCTAAGTATTCCTGATAATTCAATGAATCAGTCAATGACAAATGGTATTTTTGAAGTTAAACTATAATTTTATCATTGTATCATTTTATTGAGGATTTTTGTTTTCACAGATGAGAAGCAAAATTTCACTAATAGATTGATAGAACTTCGATGCACTCACAGACATGTTTTCACTGGAAGGAAGTATACTGCAAGAGATGGTTGGTTGTAAGTTAATTTTCTCAGTTTTACCATTGCTTATAATTGATTGAAAAATAATAATTCTAGAGTGATACAATCTATGTTGGATTGTCAAGGTAAATATTCCATAATTCAACTGAGCAAACTTTGGCAAAATTTGGTGCAAAGATTTAAGCAACTATCAAAGAGCCAATCAACAGAAAAAATTTCCTGGCCCTACTTTGAAGCAATGCAAAAATGGTTTGAGAACATTGGTCCATCAGAAAATATGATAGAAGAAAGTGGAGAGACTCCAGAAATCACAAAAGTAGAGTGTGAAATTATAGAAAAAGAGGATGAGGATCAGAATGAAAAATTGGAACAAAATTCGGGAAATAGCAATAATGTAACACTGGAGTTGATAAAAATTCGGTTGCTTACTGACATCAAAGTTGCACAGGAAAAAAATTATGACAATATTATAAGCAGGCTGAACTATATCAGTAAACAGCTAGAAACAATTAGGAGCAATTTAGACAGAACCCCAGAAGCAGATACTGTGGAAGACCTGTAAATAAAAATAAAGTGATTTTTTGTAATATATTGTTCAATACCAGTACATTCAACAATTACCTACATCACCACATTCACACATTTCGATATTTTCTAAAGCATGAAGTGCAAATTAATCTACACCATTTTGTTTCTCTATAAATTTGGATACCTAAATTTCTAGTGCTGACAGAGATTCTTCAATCTCTGAGACTTTTACTTCAGAATACCTCTTCTTTATCTCCTTCAAACACCAATCAACAACTTTGACAGCTGCATCTTTTTTCTTTCCTGACACTTTTTGACTGTTTAACAATGCTGTAGTTGTCTGGAAAAGTCAGAGTATCTCAAAAACTGTTGAATATGGACCATACAGTAAGTTGCTTACCAAATAACTTCCATATAATGCTCTTATATTCTTGGGGTTGAGTTTGTAAGACTGATTATAGTAAGTTCTTGCTAATTCAATGTTTTCCATTCCTCCCTGACTGTACCTTATATCAGCATACCTTTGATGCAATAAATGGTTGTGTGGATTGTGCAGTATGAGTTCTTCCACACAGAATGCAGCTTTGCTATATTCATGTTCTGAAATATAGAGTTCACTGAGTTCTTGCCATGCTTCTACATCTGCCATGAATCTGTAAAAAATTAGAAGTGTTTCAGAGAAGTTTTATATTGAACCAATTGATATTGTGAGTGCATACATTTTCAGGTATTCTACCAATTCTTTGATAGCCTCAGTATTCCTTCCAAGTGCCTTGCAAATTGCAATTTTTCTTTTTCTGGCAGCACTATTAGTAATATCTTTTTTCACTATATCATTCAAAATCTGCAAGGCCCTGTTGAAGTTCTCATCAGCCTCATGATACATAGACTCTAGAATTCTGATTCTGGAACTGTTTGGAAATTCTTTGTACAATTCATGGATACACTTTTCTGCAATCTTGAGTTGATAGCAGTCAATGGCTGCTATACATACTTGCTCTAATATGATGTGTTCTAGAAATTAAACAATATTAGAGGTGTTTGAATCAATGAATGAGTTACTCACTTTCTTTTCCCAAATTGTCAATATTTGAGGAAATCGTCTCATTCCAGACTTGTGTAATTTCCCTACTATAACGAATATTATGTTCTCGATACAGTTTGAGTTTTTCCATGTTTTCTAAAAAAAAAATGAATGGTATCAACAATGATAAAAGTACTGTTTTAATAACTTCTGTATTACCTTTGAGACTGCTCATGACCGTAATTTCAGACAAGGAAGAATGTTAACAAGATATTAATGATATTTATTATTTATATTATTCATAAAATAATTATTTAATTTTATTATATTAATCACCAACCTCCTGTCACTGTCACTGTGATAGATCGACATAAGACATAACCTCAATCAATCTGTTAAAGTGACTTCTCTTTTTTAAGTTCGTTGGACTGCTAGTCCATAAGCTCCAGTAAAAATAGGGCTATGTTTGATTCCCCTTGGTTTTAGGTTATGTCTTGTGCTTAGAAAATTTAAAAAATATTCTTACTATTTTTCGCCGAAAATATTTACTGCTTTAAGTGTGGGAGTAGGTTTACGTGTTATTAAATCGTTGGGGCTTCCGGTTTCAAAATTACAACCATACGGTCACTACGGTCGTTCTATAAACTGCACTATGGAGAAATTTCAGTGAGTTCTTTGGAGTTTGTGTTGAGAGTTGAGCCATCATATAATATGCTTTGTTTTCAGATATTTATTATTTCTGGCCTTCATTTTCATGATAAACAGCGAATCTCTCACAGACGAGTCTGATTACTATAAGTTATTGGGTGTAGATAGAGATGCTACAGTAAAAGAAATAAGAAAAGCATTCAAAACACTTGCCGTGAAGCTCCATCCTGATAAGAACAAGGTGAGATTACTCAACGGTACACACAGTGTGGTTTAGAACTGACTTTTCAGGAAAATAAAGATGCAGATGCTATTTTTATAAAACTGGTAAGAGCATATGAAGTTCTAAAAGACCCTGATACCAGAAAACAATATGACATACATGGTGATTCAGATTCACAAAAATTTAGGAAACAATATCACAGCTACACTTATTATAGGGATCAGTTTGGCATCTATGATGATGATCCAATCATTGTAACACTGAGTAAAAATGATTATGGTAAGTAGAGGTTCAATAATTGTATATTGTTCAACTTTTCAACTGCCTTTACCAATTGCATATGGTCTATGAACATGAATGTGAGTATATTATGATTTTCAGAGCTCAATATCTTGGATACCAATCAGGCATGGTTTATTAATTTTTACTCCCCGAATTGCCACCACTGTCATGAGTTAGCTCCTACTTGGAGAAAATTAGCTAGAGAATTGGAAGGTGTCATTCGTGTTGCTGCAGTCAATTGTGAGGATGATTATAATTTGTGCTACCAACTCAGTATTGAATCATATCCAACTCTATTATACTATGAAAAAGAGGTAACAATATGATGTTATCAAATTGGTACCATTTCCAATCATGAAACTTTTGTAGTCACACCTTTATGAAGGCATCAAATATGTGGGAGATAGATCAGTTGAAGCTTTGGAAGAATATGTGCTGTCTAATTTGCAAGTGGACATTGAACAGATCACTACAGAGAAATGGGGACAAGTGGAAACAGAACAATGGCTGCTATTCTTATGTCCTGATGAATCATCAAATTGCCCAGAGAAGAAAACTATGATAAAGCTAGCAGCATCTTTGGTAGTTGTGAACATTCATGGTTTTTGTTGATATTATAGTTTGTCACTATTTTCAGGAAGGATTGCTGTCTGTAGGATTGATAACAGATGAAGAGCTCTGTAAAAAAATATCTGAAAGTCAGTCTATAGTAATGTGGATGCCACAAAAGTTTAACCCAAATGATTCAAGTAGTCCTATAATAGGATTATATAATATTGAAGGTTCTGATGCTAGAGATATTTTGGAAAATGTTTTAGGAAAGTTGCCCAATCCAGAAACTATTGATGAAGATAAATTCAAGGTATATAGAAATTGGTAAAAATGTTCATGTGGATAGAAATAGTTCAAATTGGTTCAAAGTCTATCTTCAAATATGAATTTGATGCAAATCTTGTGAAATGTTGTGATCCTTTGAGGTCATTTTGTGGATTTTTATTCCTTGTATTTTCATCCTGATCATTGACTCCTAGGAGTCAAAACATGTAACAAGATTTTTGTTGAATTCATATTTGTAGTGAGAGCCTTCAGGTTCTTCACAAATTATTGAACAAATTCAATGACTTTTTACAAATGTTTTACTTCTTTCTAGGAAATAAGATCAAATTTGAGAAGTGAATTACAGAAACCATGGCTTTTATGTTTCTACTTAGGTCCAGCTACTGATTTGAATTTACAACTAAAACGCCTTCCACCATTGATACCAAATATTAATATAGGTGAGGAACATTCAGTTATCCAAAATGAATGAAAAAAATACATGAAAACATATTCTTTTTAGGTTTGGTTCACTGTGGAAAAAGTTCAGTTCTATGTTCAAGTCTACATGTTGTAAGATATCCTACATGGGGTGTTCTTAAAGTTGGTGGTGCCTTTGAATTACACCAAGGCAGAGATATTCTATATGAGATTGCAAATTTTGCTAAAGACAGTGTCAAAACCACAAATTTACATGCTCTGTCACCTGCAGATTTTAAAAACCTTATTCAAGAAGGTAAGGTATAAAAAATAATTTTCAGCAAGTTAATATTTGTTGTTTCAATAGGTTCTCCTTGGTTTATTGATTGGTATGCTCCTTGGTGTCCACCCTGTAGAAGGATGCTTCCAGAATTGAGAAAAGCAAGCCAAAATTTCAAGCCAGAACACATACAATTTGGTACCATAGATTGTACCCTGCACAGGAATCTTTGCCAAAAAGAAAACATACATTCCTACCCCACCACAATGTTATATAACAATTCTCAGATTCATCGATTCCATGGAGTGAATGATGAAGCCAGCATGACTGAATTTGTGGAGGATATGATGAATCCCACTGGTGAGTTTCTCATTTTTTTGTACTCTCTAGATTTCTATATTTGAAACTCATTTCAGTCATCAACCTGGATGAAGATTCTTTCATACAGTTGATGAGAAAGCCCAAAGAGGAACTGTGGATTGTTGATTTTTTTGCACCTTGGTGTGGGCCTTGTCAAAAATTAGGACCTCAGTGGAGAAAGCTAGCTAAGCAGGTCAGTTCAGAAAGTTTTCTCTTAATAGGATTGTCTCCCTTATTCAAATTGCCACCTCAAACATTTTAAACTGATTTTAACATGTTATACATAATATCAATTGTTTTTGATGAATTATTCATTTCAAAAATCAACATCAATGTTCAACTTTGGAAATAAAAAAACGACACCTTTTAAAATGTTGAGTTAGTACCAATAAGTGATAGCTTTCAAAATCTTCGATTCTCATTTTATATTTTTTATCACAACTATTGTTAGAGGTTAACAATAGTACCATTCATTTTAATAGATTGAAAATGTTTGATTCTACTATCAAGGTTTCATGACAAATCCAAGTATTTTTTTACTTTCACAACATCGGTCGGCAGTCATTGCGAGAAACAAGAAGAAGGTTATATAAGTTCATGGGAATACTTCCCAGCTAACTCCAAAGATATGCTCTTCTTTGGACAAACTTATCATCAAAACTCCCAACAGATATAGACATATTCATGAATTATCATTGGATCATTTCATGCTTCTATGCTCCACCCCCTTTACTACCGAGAGCCGTGATTGGCTATTGGGCGGAGCTTAAAGTAGTGGTAGTGGGGATATCTGAAGACACTCCATACCTACTACTGTTCCATTTTCCCTTCTTAGGTTGCAGATATTCCAGAAATTAAAGTGGCACAAGTTGATTGTGTGGCAAGTGCAGAACTCTGTGATTCCCAGAATGTCAGAAGCTATCCAGCTGTCAGGTTATATCCAATAGGGTCTAAAGGACTGAGCAGTGTGGCGTGAGTTTTGAGCATTCTTTTTTGTTGTTGTTAGAATCAATTTGTTTTTCGTTTAGGATCTATAATGGGAATAGAGATGCTTCCAATTTGAAGAGATGGGTGTTGAGTTTTTTGCCGTCGCCAGTGGAAAACCTGAATGCCAAAGACTTTCAAACGAGCATTCTGTCAAAAAAGTATGTTTTACCTTGGATCGTTGATTTCTATGCTCCATGGTGTGGGCATTGCACACATTTTGAACCTGAATACAGGACTGTAGCTCAGGTAAGTGGTATTTCTAGATTGTGAGGGCAGAGTAAAATTTATCGTTCTCTTTTTGTGTTGGTGCAGAGATTAGAAGGTCGTGTGAGGAGTGCCAAAATTGACTGTGAAGCAGAACGAATTTTCTGCGGGAAACAGGGAGTAACAGGTTATCCAACTGTGAGACTTTATTTTGCTCCAAAGGAATTTTATAAGATAGAAAGTAGGCAAGCATCACAAATTATCAAGGAAGTTAATAGAATTATTAAAGAAAGAGAGCATGCCAATGATCATGATGAACTATAATGAAAATTTCTATTCTATATTAAGTGCCATGTTGAGGGGATTGTCATTTAAGAATCTCAAAGATTTTACAGATTGTTTCTGAGCAAAGCTTTCCTTCTTCCATTTTTTCCATTCCTATTATATTTCATCTTGGCTTAAAAATGAAATTGAAGTTCCTGCCTAGAAGTAAGTGATGAGTATTTTGCCATGTTAAAATGACTTGAATATTTTTACAATTTATTTACCTAACACATCTGATTGTGATTCTCTTTTTATTATTTTCTCAAAGTAGGTTGACAAATAACACTGCCTTATGATACTTTACATTTACAATACAAAATATGTTTATTTTAACAGTATTTCTTGTGCCCAATATTTTCAGAATACTCAAACTAGGATGCTAATACCAAATGTTTAGATTATATCATTTTGATTCTAATTTTTTACTTTATATAATTTTATATAATGTTGTATACCTTTTGAATGAATAATATTTAGTTAATTAAAATTCAATGTCAGTTTTTTTTCAAAAACCGAAAAATATTTTATTAGAATGAGTTTGAGGTGTCTTCCATAATAACTACTAAGAAATATTCCAGATAATGGAGTGGTATTGCTGTACGGTAACACAATTAAGTTAACAATGAAAGACAGAATTATGAGGAAATATTAGGAACAGAGTGGTATTTTGCTAGACTATTTCACGTACATGCAGCATAAACCATTTATTATAAATGAGCCATTCATTCTGACAACTATACAGCTATAATTATTTCATGCCAAACTGACAGACTGATAGACCAATCAGAATTGAAAAACAGCTAGTGTTTTTGCGATAACACAAGTTCTTTCTGGCTTGTCATTAGTCAGAAAATGTGGTGAATGAAATAGTCATAATAATCTTCGATCTCAAGCGTCAAATCAGGTTTAATAGAAAAATAGCTATTTCAACTTCTTCTATAATCACTATTTTTCTATGTGATGTTGAATAATCTCTTCGCCATATTCACCACAGTGGTGTTTTCCAAAATATCGTTGATGTACTGAAAAATCAAAATTATTCTCGGTATACGCATTTTCATAATTCATGTTACCTTTTTGACTTGGACTTCAATTGAAGGCTTCAACTCGGGCCACAGTAATCTCAAAGCTTCTGGCGCCAATTTTGAAATAGCCTTATTGATCAGTACTCCAGTTTCTTTGTCCTTCATCAGATTTTCGAAATTATTCTGGAAAAATCGTGCAAATTTACAATCTGTAATAATGATTAAAAGGTTTTGCGCCGATATAATACTATACTGGCCTGTTACTTGTTTGCCAGGATTTTTGAACCTATCATTGTGCATGAAATTGCATCGTGTTTTCCATGTTTTCGTGATTAACTCACTTCCAGTTTTTTCAACTTGACATCAAGGCTGATACTTTCAACTCTCAGTCTTGCAGGCAATGTAAATTTCAGTATAGTCGACGTCCCCAATTTGAGATCTATCAAGTTCAACCTTGACAAAAAAAAAATTGAAATATATTGGGCAGACCAAGAGAAAAGCACATATCAGACTCATAGAACATACTAACCTGAAAGGTCCATTTCCGAATATCCGGAAAGCTCCACCGACTTCTCCGTCTATGTTGTATGTTCCGTTGACTTTGATGTATGGAAATGTTAGATTCAGATCTAGTTTGAAACGTAATTTTCCTAGATCTGAGAAACTTTCTTTGTCCACCAAAAATTTGGATATGTGTCTGATCGTGAGGTCTTCTGCTCTCCCTTTTACACTAAAATACACATGAAATGTTAATGAACATTTGGTTTTGATTAATGATTAAATAATAGTAATAAATTTCGAACGTGAATATTCAACATATTTGGAGGATGAACTTCAGACTCATTTTTGAAGTTGTATTCTTATTTAGCGAAGATTCTGGGGATCTGTCACTGAATCACCCATGGAATTCCCAGAAATATATTTGTTAGTTATCAACATAAGGTGTTTGTTTAATCTTGTTTGATTTTGCGAAGAAAGGTCATTTTGTTGTAATTAGTTGTTTGTGAAATATTCGCTTTAATCATTTTCATTATCATTATTATGAATTCATTATGATCCTTTGTATGGAAAGGATAAAACATATGACAGTCTTTAAGTAATTGTAATGTAATGACTGTAGCAAGACATACAGGGTGTTTCAAAAAAACCTAACCCCCTTGCTAGGGTAGGTAGAACATTGCAAAATAAGTTGGGTTTGCTCAGTAAAAGAATGTCGTAACGCCATCCGTTTTTGATTTGAAAATATGAAAATTTTATAAAGTGGTAACTGTTGCTGGTATAAAGCTATGTATTAGAGAGTATTATGAAAAATTTTCACCTATTTATTGAAAACCGAAAACAACAATACATTTCGGATGCAAAACTCATTGATTTAACAATGAATCACAAGAATAACATCGAAAGAAATTTGACTAAGGACATGGATTACACAGTTTTGTTGTATCTTGAGCAGAAAGTCTATGCTACATAGGTAAATTCACGTCAAGAGTTGTGAGACATAATTGAACATCACTTAAATGACCTAACAGCTGATCCTCAACTGTTCAGAAGAATGATACATCCTCAAAAAAAGAATAAAGAATCGTTTATTCCTCGAGACGTAGTACATTTTGAACACTTACTCTAACTGATTCAATATTTCATGTTTCTAGTCAAATATCTCTTAATTTTCTACTTATGATTCTTTTTTCCATCAATAACTTCAGCACAAGAATAATTTGATTGTTTCTGAACCTGAATAAATAGGTAATTGAACTCAATAAAATTCATTTTATCAGCATCATTCCTACATTATTTTCAAATCGAAATATTCCGAAAACGGAACATAGTATCGAGTTTCACCAGGAGTACCTTTTTGGTGTTATATTGAATGATGTTCAAGTTCATATCATATTTGGATCAAAAAATCTAACCTCAAAAAAGTAATGTTCAAAACTACTCGGTACGAACCGTGTAACTAGCGCCCTCTATGAGAGTCAGATATAAAAACAAATTCATGCGATGTGTCAGATTTCAAGAAACATCCATACAAAATTTCAGTACAATGTTGCCAGTAGTTTCGGAATAATCGTGAAAAATGTGTAAAAAAATAATTTTTTCAACACCTTGTATCATGAAAATGGATGGCGTTACGACATTTTTTCACAGAGCATACCCAACTTATTTTGCAATGTTCTACATACCCTAGCAAGGAGGTTAGGTTTTTTTGAAACACCCTGTATATTGGACAAACAGGTCAGTATGTATAGTAACCAGATTCGTAGACAATATTGATTTTTCACTTACTTTGCAGCTTCATGATTGACGTTGAATTCTATTTTATCTATATGCAATGGGTCTAACACTGGTATGCTTAGTTCAGGTACACCTTTTATCAGTTGTTTTCTGACTAATTCCAATATAGCTCTCAATCTTTCTTCGATGGTCGCAAAACTGTTGGTAATTCTTTCGATTGTGTTTCCAAAAATGTCTACTCCAGTTCGAATCAAACCTGCAAGTTTGTTTACATATTTTTTTATTCAAGTATACTTTCATTCTTTACATATTTTATCAATTGAAAACAATTGTCAACAATTAATTTACATGTAGAGTAAGATGAAAAACATGTTTGCAATAATTAAATTATCTTCCGTCACTTTTAGGTAGGTAGAACTGCATTACTACACTACAAATGCTGAATACTATTCATGAAATAACAAAAAATTGACTATACAGTGTCTGATATGAAATTATTTCAAATGAAAATGAAGTTGGATTGTTTCATCCATCAGATTTTCTGCTCAAACTCGTTTGTAATAGTCAATAATTTATACCGGAAGGATGGAATGCATTTTGATGTTGATGTTTGGACTTTGAGCAAACATGAGCAGATACACTCGATAGTATAAAGTCCGATTATCATTTTAGTATCACTTTTTCTTCATACTTTATATGTCATCAATGTTATTTCCGTATCCGCTTTCACAATAACTTGATTGTGATATTATTTCACAAAATTTTATCTCTAATGAAATGTCAAATTTCAAGCAATGACAGCTCTGTCTAATAAATGAGCATTACTTGGGAGAGAAAATCAGATGGCTACAAGCCGAAGAAATAACAAATTTCGCTGTTATTTGTTACAGCCGTAGAAAAAGTATAGTGCATAACTCGTATGATTGATGCTGCAAACTTCATTCTTGTGGGAAAAGAATATCATTCCGTGCTCGTTAAACAATATACTATTTCCCATGGGATAAGATTTATACTTATTTCCTTTTTATTCATATTTATTATTAGATATATTCAAAATCTACATGCACGTACTATGTGACTTATGATTGTTTTACAAGTATATGTATTCTCCAATTGATGAAATGAAATGTTATGCAAACAATGAAAACCTTTCCGGAAATATGCACATCTTAGAAAATTACTGTACAGGGTGGCCAACTAAGACTCCAGAGTTCGATTTCTCTGTTGTCTTGAGAGATACAGGAAAAATTCATGAATCAAAATTGAAGTAATAAACGAGCTTCACATTTTAAAATTTGATTGAAATACACAGGGTGTTCCGTAAGGTCACAGCACATCAAAGCTATGTTCTTTTCATGGGAACACCCTATATTATATTTCATTTTTGAATTATCCCTGGAAATCTGAATTCAACGACCCATCATACTTGGGGTCTAGCAGTTATAATTACTGAGATATATGGTGTGAGAAATCGAGATTTTCCAAGTTCAGGATTTTTTTCTGTCGAAACTGTTCATTATTCGTCAAAACGGTGTACATGTCCCTATCTCAACTTTTCACTCACTATCAATTGGTGTTCAATTGAAATTGATACAAGGTGGTAAAAAAATCTAAATTTTTAATTTGTTTCAATTAAATGTCAATTGAACACCAATTGATAGTGAGTGAAAAGTTGAGATAGGGACATGTGAACCGTTTTGACGAATAATGAACAGTTTCGACAGAAAAAAATCCTGAACTTGGAAAATCTCGATTTTGCACACCCTATATGTCAGTAACTTTCACTGCTAGACCCTGAGTATGATACGTCGTTGAAATCAGATCTTCAGGGAGAATTCAAAAATGAAATAAAATATAGGGTGTTCCAATGAAAAAAACATAGCTTTGATGTGCTGTGACCTTACGGAACACCCTGTGTATTCCAAAGAAATTTTGAAATGTGAAGCTGGATTATTAATTCAATTTTGATACTTGACTTTTTTTTGTATCTCTCAAGACAACAGAGAAATCGAACTCTGGAGTCTTAGTTGGCCACCCTGTACATCAAGATATAAAATTGTTATTCAAATTATTGTGGATATTTCAATGTCACGAACAAAATACAGATAGGTATATACAGGGTGATCCATAATTCCACATAGTTGCAATCAATAGTCAATCCAAATACGAGATGTCAAATGTCAACATATTGCTTTTGGATGACATTACACACGCCATTATTTTAAATGATATTCTTCCTTCTTTTCACTAAATATGGATAAATCACAAGAAAATCATATTTCTAGTTGACTCATAATAGAAAAAAATGTGTCGTACATTGTGATATACAGGGTGTTTCATAATTGAATGCTGATCCTAAAGGGCGATGATCCTTGGATGATTTCAAGGAGAGAAGTTCATATCAACATTTGTCCTGAACCTCTTAGTTTTTGAGCGACAGGGTGTTGAAATCAGAAGCGTACAGCGTTTTTTTAAACTGAACATTCAATATCAGGTCTACGAGGACATCACGTACTGGTAAAAGTAGAAGTTTGATTTTTGTCCCAAAACAAAATGTGTTTCTACTTATAGTGGGTGTCTACTGAATTACCAAAAACAATATCCAAGCACTGAAGGAACAAAATTCTTTGGTTTTTATTTTTTTACGCGAAAACGGTACGTTGTATGAAAGTAAGTCTAGGAACAAATTTGCTCCAAAATGAATAAAAATTGAAAAAAAAAAATCTGGTTCTCAGAAAAATCAAAGGCGTACTGTTTTTCTCTTCAGAAATTGTCAGTTCAAACCCCGAACGGACGCCACTGGTGAGAATTTTTAAATATCTTTCACGTAAAAAAATGCTCCTTAATAATGAAAAGGTGTATACAAAATATCATAACAATATCTAAGAGTGATGAAAAATTATGATGAAAAACTAATTTTTTTCCTGAAATTTCATCACCCTGTAGCTCAATAACTAAGAGGTTTAGGACATATTATGTTGTTAACTTTCCTCTTTGAAATCATCCAAGGATTATCGCCCTTGAGGATCAGCATTCAATTATGAAACACCCTGTATATAAATAGACCAATTTTCATCATTGGTCAATTTTTTTTTGTCCCCCACCCGACAGAATACAATACAAAACAATTATCTATTTATACGTTTTAGAGTTTTTATGAATATAGGTTCATATGATCCAAATCATATAAGTTGAAAGGATGAACAATGAACATGAGTGTGGCAACTATGACTAAAAGATACGTCTCCAAGTCCGAGCGCTCTAACAGTCGTTCATCTTTTTTCATAATGACGAAACTTTCATGAGCTCGATAGGAAATTTGATCATCTTCCAATATGTGCATGATGCTTTGTCTCTGAGTAATACTAATAATAAAAATATGAATTATCTGCGAAAACCGACGAGAAATGCTATTTTTTTAAAAGTACCCAAATTTGGTCAATTCTCAACTGGCTCTATCTCCGCACCCTTTAGTCCTACATTCGAGAGCAAGAACAATTTTATCTAGGAAATTTTACCTACTTCAACTTTTTATAAGGCGGTTTTTTCGATATAATGTATGATTTCCGAGTTACGGGCGAAAAACCGAAAAAAGTGCGAACATTTCGCTGTTTTTTGCTAATATCTCGGAACGCTCCAGGAAATTTTGTTTGCAAAATTCAGATTCGAATTCAGCAGCAGCATTCACAGAGAATCTGACTACTTGAATTTTTTCCCGGATTGGGTCCTAATCGTTACGGTTTTACTGAGCTATACAGTCTGTCCAAGATAAGGTTGAACAGCATGGGGATCTCGGAAACGGTAGGAGATACGAAGTCGCTTAAATGGGGAAAAAGTTGCGCATTCGGAGGCTCATATCAAGAGCCTTCGAAAATTTTGAAAATTATTTTTAGTTTTTGAGTCATATCGAAAAAAGTGAATTTTTGGAATTTCTATTTAATTTTTTTTCTCCGTTATTATTAGAGATACAGAAAAACTGAAAATACTTTTTCATAGCAACTTTTGATGACGTTCAACGTGGTGATACCGATTTTTTATGCGACGTTTCGTATTTGTGGAACCATCATCAACTTTTGTTTTTTAAATACGGTCCTGATAATTTTTTCACAGAATCTGAAAGGTTTTTCTATTCTGAATTCAACCATGTACTATACAAGGTGATTCGAATGTGTTTCGACCTATTTCTATCCATCATCAATGTTTTTTCGAACTTCCAAAGGAAAAAAGCCATCAGTTCCACTTATTTCTGATCATTTAGTGTCAAACTTGATGGATTAGTTATTCAATACTGAAAAGTGAATAAAAAATATTTCACTACATCATTCGATCAATGCAGCGTTTAAACTTGTTGATGAATTCTTACACGAATCACTTTAACAACTTAACTTTGACAATACCTACAGAGACATTTATAACAAATGTTCAAAATGATAACCATTATTTTCTGAACAAAGATATGCTCTTCTCACAGTTGCTTCTAAGACATTGCTAAGCATTTCTGGGGTTATTCTATTGAATGCTTCGAAGACACTGTCCCTTAGTTCTCCATCATCAAAGTTAGTTGCGTGTACAAAGTTCGATATATCCCCTAAGAAAAAATCCAGCTGTGTCAAATCAGGCGACCGCGCCGGCCAAGGGATAAAAACGCACGGACTTCTCTGGAATTATGTACCGGAGCGCCATCGTGTTGAAACCAACAGTTCTGACTTCCGCAATCGTTAAATCATCCAGAGATCCTCAAGATGATTCTCAAGCGAATTTCTATAACGTTCGGAAGTCTGTGTTTCATGGTAAATAGAAGAAACAATAATTCGTGTACCAAATATTGCAACCCACATATTAAAGCCGAAACGGTGTTGGTGTCTCGCTGTAATGTATAAATGTTCATTTTCTCGTGAACAATAATGTGTATTTTTTTATCGAAGCTACCATGATTAGTGATCATGCTTTCATCAGTCCAGATGATTGTTCGAAAGAAATCTGAAAAATTTTAACATTTCCTGGTATACCACTCACAGAATGTCCTGCGCCTTTCGTCATCGCCTGGTTTTAGCGCTTGACATATTCTGAATTTTTATGGACGGAATTTTTGTATCTGCAAAATGAAATGGGTTGTTGATTGAAACCAGTTGATGAGGTATTAGTGTGTTGACTAATTTTCCTTCAAAATAAGTGGAACTGGTGGCATTTTTCTTTGGAATTTCGAAAAAACATTGATGATGGCTGAAAATAGGTCGAAACACACATAAACCACTTTGTATAATACATGGTTGAATTCAGAATAAAAAAACCTTTCAGAATCTGTGAAAAAATTATCAGGACCGTATTTAAAAAACAAAAGTTGATGATGGTTCCACGAATACGAAACGTCGCATAGAAAAATCGGTATCACCACGTTGAACTTCATCAAAAGTTGCTATGAAAAAGTATTCTCAGTTTTGCTGTATCTCTAATAATAACGGCGAAAAAAAATAAAATAGATATTCCAAAAATTCACTTTTTTCGATATAACTCAAAAACTAAAAATAATTTTTAAAATTTTCGAAGGCTCTTGATATGAGCCTCCGAATGCACAACTTTTTCCCCATTTAACCGACTTCGTATCTCTCACCGTTTTCGAGATCCCCATGCTGTTCAACCTTATCTTGGACAGACTGTATATGCCGTGTTGAATGTTGAATTTTCTGAACAATCACTCATGTCGAAAAATTCTACTCACCGAACGTTGTATTCGTAACCCTATTCAAAAACCTGCTGATGCCAGGCTCCTGGATTTTGACTTTCACTTGACTGTCAGCACACCCCAGAAAAAACAGAACAATAGCACAGTAACAAATGCCAGACCGCCAAGTCATCTTCCCGATCTAGTCTCGCTGAGAAACAGAAGAACGACTGATCAATGCACGCTAGATCGCGTATGCAGAATGATATAAGAGTATTAATGCTACTAATTTGTCGATAGCAATGAATATTATCTAGTCAGCTGTGATGCAAATATCGGCAATAACATATCATTATACGCTCGTCGAGTTGAGGTTAATTGTAAAAACTTGTAAAAACTCTCTCTCTCTTGATGATTTGTTCCTTCTTGTAGATGATCAAGGAAGAAATAGCCTAATGTAGGCAGGTAGCAGCAATTCATGGGAAATCTATTGTTTGTTATGTGTTCGCATCATGTTATCAAATTGCGAGAGTACAAGGTTATATAGCTTTTTTCAACTCAGTCATTCTCTATAATGAATTGAATTATTTTGAAATTCAAATAAACTGGATGTGTCATCAAAATTCTTCATTTTATGCAGAAAACTATAAGTACTTACTACTTACCCAGTCTCTCTCTTGGGTAATTTTACAAAAAAGTATCCACATCATACCAGTTGAAGATAATTTGGATTGATATTTAAATTTCATTGTATATCCCAAGAAACACGTATCTACGTATGTTTATGATAGGAACAAAATATAACAATCGATAAATTGATAAAGTAAAAGTGAAAGACGACGGAATAGCGCAGTGGTTGAAGCGGTCTGCTATATCAGAACATCGAAAGGTTTGCTAGGTTCGGCCCTGGCAGAGCAGAGAATTTTTATTTACAAAACGAATTATAAATTCTAATTTTCCTAGCCTCGGTCAGAGATGAATCCGGACGATTCGCTGTTGCGTTCCAATTAACAGTGCTGCTGTTAAGGTGGCGTATGGAGTTAGTAACAAAGCTTACACAGAACACGCATGGGCTGAAGGACCTCTCGTTAGGTCGATGACCAGTTGTTATGTACATACATACTGACGAAGTACATATATTATTACTAGCTGACCCGGTAAACGTTGTTTTGCCATAAACATTATTTCTAGAAAAATATTTTTTGGTAAATATTTATCAGAAAACTTTCATCATTTCATTTCTACTTCTTTTTAGTTTGTTAATCAATAAAAGCGGGATTCTTTAGTTTTTCAAACTATGCTACTTATTCTCTACTTCTTTTTAGTTCAGCACTCTATATCTCTTCATTTTTTAATTTATTTACTACTCACTTCTTTATAGTTTGGCTATCTATAAAGACGTGTTTCATTAGTTTTTCAAACTACTATTTATTACAATAGCTGATGCTGATACCTGGCATACGTTGTTTTGCTATATATATACATTTTCTTCTTGAAAATATTTTTTTCGTTAAATATTCATTAGCACACTTTTGTTATTTTGTTTTGAACTTTTTTTTAGTTCGGATATCCATGAAATCGTGTTTCATTAGTATTTCAAACTACTATTTTTATTTTCTACTTCTTTTTAGTTCGACAATCTATCTCGTTTTTTAAACTATACTATCAATTTTCTACTTCTATTCAGTTTGGCCTCAAGTTTGGCTATCTATAGAAACGTGTTTCATTATAGTTTTTGAAACTATACTATTTATTACAAAGCTCTTTCACCATATTGGATCTGCTTTCTTGAATTTCCCAATTTTAAAGAATAAAATCATAATCTCCGACCCCGAAAACCCCCAGCTACAGATTTTGAATAGAATCTGATCACAATTAGAAAACTCTTCCGCCATATTGGATCCGCCATCTTGAATTTCCAAATGTTGACAAAAGAATCATTATCTCTGACCCAGAAAACCACCCGATTACAATTTTGAATAGAATCTGACCATAATTACAAAACTCTTCCGCCATATTCGATCCGCCATTTTGAATTTCCTAATTTCGATGAAGAAATCATAATCTCCGACCTCGAAAACCCCCAGATACCAATTTTGGATGGAATCTGACCATAATTACAAAACTCGTCCGCCATCTTGGATCTGCCATCTTGAATGAAATCGGATAACTATACTCGTCCGCCATTTTGTATCCGTCATGTTGAATTTTCGATTCAAAAACGACCGATTCTCATACGTGCTCAAACCTAGAGAATACGCACAAAAAATTTCATTCGACCACTAACACCGTGACCGTGACAGGAGAATTTTAATATTAGATATTATTTTTGTCACGTATTTTTATGTATGTTTCAACAAATATTTTTATTCGAATATTATTTGATTTTTGGTTGGAAACTAGGGGGCCTGAAGAAAAATACTGTCACGCCATTCAATATTCAACACCTTAATACAGTTATACCAAATAAATATGATGAGGATTGTGTTATACCCCTTTGTAAAAACCTAGACATTTACTACTCAATATTTGACATTACATTATTTTCAATAGTTTTCAAATTTGTAACATACATCCTTTGATATTTGAGAAAAATCGTCAGCAAAATATACATATTAATTACTTTTTAGAGTTCCACGAACTATTTCGTGTTTGAAATGATGTTTTTTCATCGATCACAAATTAATGGTGAATCACCTTCAATTAATTTTTCCTAACATGACTAGCTCTGACGTTATATAAATAATTAATAGGAAGCTATACCTGCCTGCATAAAAATACTATTAACCGCAAATTATCACGTGCACAATTCACTAACCATATATATTTATTTTACGAAACGCAAAATTGCAGCTTCTGGAAACAAGCTGTAAAACAACTAGGTACCTACTAAATAAAAAAACTATACGCTAGAGTTCATAATATACCAACTACTCTCTCTTTCATTTTGAGTCGAGTCTTGCATATGAATGAAGATTACTTTAATGATATTCGGTTTTTGCGCGCCAAAATTTTGCAAGAAATGTATGCTTGAATCTCGTATGAAATTCATAAATACATATATGTATGTATATCAAAATATACTTTCCCACGATTGTTCATTTAGGACTGCAGATCAAAAGTTTAGATTCGGTACCTAGGTCAAGGTCTTTTACTTAGTTATATAAGATGTAGAACGTATATTTATTATACAATATAAAATAGCTTTAGATATAATGTATGAAGGATATGGAATTTCTGCTATACAAGTGTTTACCGAGGTGATGAACTTCTGAATATCACTGTATATTATCATTGATAAAAATGCATTTAACAATAAAATCGTAAGTATGCACTGGATGCCCACACAAAAATACAATCATAACATTTGAAATACATAATATAGCATTGTACAAACTGAGCAACCAGAAATTTTAAATGGATATTTTGGAGATTTTTTTCGTGATATCAGTTCTAGCATGCCCCAGTATATTCAGTTTATTATTGTCCAAAAATGAGACAATTGTTCAGGGTGAGCATTTTTCAAATGACCGTAAAGATCCGAAGTTATTTATCTGACAAATAACGTAATAGTTCCGGGGACATTTTGAAATCATAATTTTTGTAGAACTTTCCCAAAGCGAGGAAGTACGTACATTTCCTGTACAAAACTTGACCAATGAAAACCCTACTGAGAACATGGTGCTTGGTAAGAAAATTCCAATCATCATAGTGTAGTTTTCCCTGTCAAAATCTATTTATCTGTATCTAATATTCTTTTTCCTAGGAATGTGCGAAAAAATAACTTTTTCGCATGATTATACGTTTTGGAAGTGGTTCTTTTCCGAATGATTTTACTTTTCCGCATTATATTTACTTTTCCACACAATTTCGAAGGAAATACCAGGAGACATACAGGGTGTCTGTAAACATTGGAACATGGCTCGGCTGTGGACTCCTGGGATAAAAACAAGTTGATTCAGGCCAACTTACCTATATCCAAAATCGTCTCGTTGAGTTGGTACAAGGCGTTGAAGCAATCAGGAAAAAAATATTTTTTCACCTATATGAGCCTACTGCATTGCTTGAACCGCTGATTTTGAAAATCTAGAGGGAGAGTTATCTATCGAATCTGACATCAAATTCTCTCTTTATGGGTCTGAATTAGTGTCTATGATTTTTTTGGAATTTTTAGGGCAATCAGGAAAAAAATATTTTTTCACCTATATGAGCCTACTGCATTGCGTGAACCGCTGATTTTGAAAATCTAGAGGGAGAGTCATCTATCGAATCTGACATCAAATTCTCTCTTTATGGGTCTGAATTAGTGTCTATGATTTTTTTGGAATTTTTAGGGCAATCAGGAAAAAAATATTTTTTCACCTATATGAGCCTACTGCATTGCTTGAACCGCTGATTTTGAAAATCTAGAGGGAGAGTTATCTATCGAATCTGACATCAAATTCTCTCTTTATGGGTCTGAATTAGTGTATATGATTTTTTTGGGATTTTTAGGGCAATCAGGAAAAAAATATTTTTTCACCTATATGAGCCTACTGCATTGCTTGAACCGCTGATTTTGAAAATCTAGAGGGAGAGTTATCTATCGAATCTGACATCAAATTCTCTCTTTATGGGTCTGAATTAGTGTATATGATTTTTTTGGGATTTTTAGGGCAATCAGGAAAAAAATATTTTTTCACCTATATGAGCCTACTGCATTGCTTGAACCGCTGATTTTGAAAATCTAGAGGGAGAGTTATCTATCGAATCTGACATCAAATTCTCTCTTTATGGGTCTGAATTAGTGTATATGATTTTTTTGGGATTTTTAGGGCAATCAGGAAAAAATATTTTTTCACCTATATGAGCCTTACTGCATTGCTTGTCACGTTTTGAAATGTTTTTGATCATCATCAGTGACCTGCAAGTGTTTCAAACAACCATGTTGCCGTACAAATTTGGTGATAACTTTTCAGAGGTCGGACTGGAACTTTTTCTCCAGAAAGTTATCCCCTTCAGAAATATTTTTCGTATCGTGTTAATTTTTGTCTCAAGGTTCATTTGCAAATAAATAATTTCTGATCTGAGGCATCTTATGCATTTTTCAGAAAAATAATCTGGTTGGGACATGGCTTGACTGTACACTCCTGGGATAAAATAGGTTGATTTTAGCCAACTTACCTATATCCAAAATCGTTTCGATAAACTGGTACAAGGTGTTAAAGTGCTCACCTTAGGTCCTGAATATTT